CGCGAACAAGCCCTTTGAACTTCGGATCCTTGTGGATTCCCAAGAGACACATTCGGCTTTGCTACAAGTTCTCAGAGTCAGCATCACCTCATGAGCGGATATTTCCAAGATGGGGATATATACCCCCTCAATACGAACGAAGCGGAATTCCATAACATGTTTCCCAGGAATGGTGGAGGGATGGTCAATAATACGATCCCATTCCATGAAGCAAAATTGCAGGAAATATGCCTCCCAGAACTCGCGGGTCATAAGATGCTTAGGACTATTTGCTCACAGCGTTAGCGCTCCCTTGCGAGGAAAATTACCAGTATATGAAACTCTCCTGAGTAATAGGACATATTGCTGAGGTGGATTGCTTACCCGTCGATCATCAGGACTCTAGATTGCTGGAGCCTGCTAGCAAGGTATCCGTCCCGGTTGTACACAAATCTTAGCTCGTGATTTCGGATTCGAGCCTCGGACTGTAGCATGCGTCGTGCGCCCTCTGGGTTCATGAAGACGAGACAGGCAGCTGCTGTGGTATGCTGAAAGTAAGATCGGTTAGCAACACGTATCAGGAACGGACTTGGATTTTAATCAAAAAAACCGTATTAAAATGGTCTATTGGACCAAAGGAGGAAATTAACTGGTGAGATAAATTGCTTGCTTACCTTTTCATTCTCTGGTCTTAAGCAGAGGGACGCGACAGCGCCGACATGGATCCTGTCAAAGACTTCCCACGGCTTTGCACCCCTGGGGATATTTGTCACAAACAGTGAGCAGTTGAGCACATCCTCCAGTCTATACACCTTTCCCGCACTAGGATCCCCCATATACATGTTGTCAGATCGAGGCCGACGCGGTTCGCCGGGATCAGCGAAGGTGTGAATCTCAAGAGCCATTCGTGAAGGTTGAAGAGGTGGTGAGATGAAGGTTGTGGAAAGTGCGGATGAGATGGGTGATCGTATGTCGGTGGTGTGAGTTCGTTCTTGGTTGTAGCTATTTGAACGGCGGGTGTGGAGAGGAGGCATCTGCATTGATGCGGTAAAAATATTGTTGCGCACCACCAATGCTCCGCTCCTGCTGTTTTCAATCATGCTTCCCGGGTACAGTTCCGAATTACTGGTCCTCCTATACTGCTTATTTTGAAATAGCAAGTCGCTTGGTACGCTGTCGGTCTGCTGGGTATCCACGAAGTTGGAAAAGTCGTTTTGTCTGCTGTTGGAGTACATCCTGCCCGTATAGTAATAAGACTTAGCTGACTGAAGCAGGGGAGCTCTTTTCACCATTGAATGAGGCATAAAAGGCGGCGACGACCATGATAGAGGATGATGGGAAGGAGGAAGTACGGCCGGAGTAAAAGGCTTTGACGATCTTGGGTGAGCATGCTGCGGCAGATATGGAGAGAACAGAGCTATATGAGCAGTGAGTGGTTTGCCATCTTGTCAAGCTTAAGAACTCAGGTTAACAAACTTGAAGATTCATTGCCGGCTCTACGCTTTGCTCGTGCAAAGTACTCGTTGCACGCCTGGGAGTTTGTTGGGTAGCAGTTTACGTCTTGATATGACCGGTTGTTGTGAAAATCGTCCCCTTGACCATGGCTCTGCATTCCGCCAATTGACAGTTCCACGCCTCGATGCTTGCGAGCGGCCGACATGTTGTTCATCATCGTAGTTACTTGTAGTTCAAGATTTGCTTTCAAAGACACTGGAATCAGAAATGAGCCGTCCGTAAGTGTATTGTTGTGCAAGGTTTTGCTGGGGATGGAATGTTAAATAAAAAATAATTCGTCCCTCTTCAACTGTGCCGGAATTGCCGCCGAGAGGGGTAGCTTTTGATAATTGAATCTCGTGAAATTACATTGACACAGTCAATAGGGGCTCGCTTAATAGGCGAGCTTCCTCGCAAAGCTAACAACACTCCATTGACATATGGAATTGCTCGACGTGTGTACTTCCTTTTCTTCCCATTATCGCACGCATAAGTGAAGCTAAAATTATGAAGCGGATAATCCTATAGTGTTTTACGACCGTTTTCACAAAAAGAAGAAGTTTTCCGGTAGACAGAAAAAAGCAGCACACAATTCTTAATGTGTCAGGTAGTGGGACATTATTAAAAGTCGATAAGGCTAAATGCCGCTTTTTGCGGCCAGCAAACTCAAGCATTTATAATTAACAATCATTTTGTAGAGCAGGCCGTAAAACACTATAGTAATTAACAAAACCCCCACTCCGTACCTATCGTGTGAAAGTTTGCTTTGTGACGCGGTAGTTTAATCGATAAACCCTGTCCTCTAGTGGAAAGATCATCGTCATAACTAGCTGTCATTGACTGACCACAACCCTACTTTTAAACCAGTAGTACGTTAATAGAGTTTGGAGGTTGGGCGCTCTTGTCACAGGTAGCTTTTAGAAGAACCCTTTACAAGGATTTTATTGGAATTATTTACAGTTTTCCGAGAGGGTCTTGATCTTGCAAATTAAAAGTAGAAAGAACACGAAGCAATGAGCACTTATCTAAAGGTTCCGGCCGTTTTATGTCTCATACCCAATAACCCATGTACAGAAGAAATGATCAAACAAACTTCAAAAGGACGCCAGACATACCATACCCAGCCTTCTACCCAATGCTTAACCAGCTAATTTTATCTACGTAGTTCTTAGCCAAGATACCACAGCCACAAAGAAATCACTTGAAGTAATCTCCCCTAAACAAAGCCTCACTGTTCGCAAGGATCCTTAGCATAGTCGATCGAGTACAGGTGATCAACCCCATCCTTCTTGTAACAATTAAGAAGGTATAGCCTCGCCTGTCGTGATTGTCCAAGGATTGACGGGAACACAAGCTGAATAACCTTCCGTCCGTCGTCCCAAAGCCACTCATCGGAGGACACGAGGTCAAAGTCCATGCACTCATTGAGGGCCTCAATAGTGCCATCAATGTCACAGTCTTCCTGTGGCCCAGTGATCTGCAGGACTCGACTTTGATGCAGCTCGAAGGATCGCATTTCTGGGCAGAACTTGGTATTCCACTTGACAGTGATCTTGGTCCCGTGGAACCAGATGCCAGCGCCAGTGTGACGGGAGTAATATCCTCCTCGGGCGATAAAATTCTCGGCGGCAAGACGATTTGCAAAGACGAGTCTGCCAGAGCGACCTGGGTGTAGAGGGGGAGCTGGTTCTGTCCAGGAGAATTGGAAGACTTTGCCTTCCTTGATGGTGTCAAAGAACTCCTGATAGGTAGTCTCGACAGGAATATTCTCCAAGCGGACAGCGCAGCTCTCGGACGCAGGTGTTCTCGCACATCGGAGAGCGAATGTGGTGACATCGCCCTCATAGTTGTCGTTGAGGACGACGTTGGCTTGCATTGCTTCTCGTTTACGCTCGGGGGTGATGGACCGGCGGAGACCCAAACGCTTTCGAGATGGTTGGAACTCATCATCATTGGAGATACTTGTAGCGGTCGAAGAAGGGTTGGCAATGGCAAAGGGGATTAGCGCTCCCGATGCTTCCGTCTGTATAGAGAAATCAGAGCTAATAGAGACAGCGTTGCTTTCTAGACTATTCTGCGAAGAATGTCTCAGTGATTGGCTCTGCATTGCTACTTGGGCATCGTAGGTTGCATCTCGGTGTTTGATAAAAACCTCTCTGCTCACGTATTCTTCGAAGAACTGCTGAGCGTCGTCGATAACAATTAACTTCGCGAAACCGGCTTTGAAGACAAGGCGGCCGTCTACCTGACTAATTCTCTTGGCTACTCTAGATGTTAGCAAATATTTCGAGGAGGATGAAAGCTGCTTACCGATGTTTGTGCACCACTCGTTGTACCCACGGTCGATCCGCTTTTCCAAGGTGTAGTATTCAGCTAATAAAAGATTAGCAATATGAAAAGAGGTGGAATACATAGGCTTACGGTCATTAACTAGATAAATTAGGGCCGAGTGCTTTCTCAAGTGTGGGCTCTCATCATAACAAATACCGTCCCGTGGCAGGTTTGGGGTATTTGTATGATCGACCCATACTCTCTCGCTGGTTTTCATTTCGGGTTGTGTGTGTCGAGACAAGAAGCCTGCGGCCATTCGCCAGCTGGTATTTCGAATACGCTGGAGTCGTTGTACGCGTTCAGGAGGGTTGAGATCCTCGTTAGAGGATTTAGAGGATCCTGAAACATTTCGGACATCATATCGAGAGGTCATCTTGGTATTCCTGACCTTCAAAGGATAAAAGGCACGAGTATGAATCGAGCAGTGCAAATGTAAGGTGCTGGCTCTTGAGGAAGTCTTTTGAAGAATGGATTGTGTGGTGGTGGATGTCGAAAGGAAGAGTACTAAGTTCCTGGAAGCCCCTTTTATACTACGCCAACAGAGTTCCCTCGAGCGGTCGGGCGCAGATTTCTATCTACGTAGGGATATTCAATTTTTGGGCCCCTATCTTTTGGTGAATTTTCAACTTGAAATGCTTTGTTATTGGCTCGTGGAAGTTGAATAGCAGGGTATAAGCATGATGGTTGCTAGGCAGCGGGCAACGGCCTTGAAATTGTTAAGTACTTGTTCAGTACTTGTCAAGTAGTTGTTAAGCACTTGTTAAACTCATCCAAACTGATAGGAGGAAAGAAAGACTCGTCATAGTCGAGGAGGAAAACGCAGAACATCCGGTTCATCGATCAGGCCTAGCTGGTTTGATTAAAGATATACATGGGTTCCGACGAGGTCGCCAGAAGTAGAAAGAGCGTAAAAAAGCAAAGAAACACGCAAGAAGTTTGAACTAGGATGATATTTTTTTAATGGTGTAATTCTGGTTTCACGGATTTGCAAAGGCTACTGAATTACTATTTAAAGACTAATCACGAACCATCCGAGCCAAAAAGAAGACCAAGTGAAGCCCGATTTTTAATATATCAGTGTCCGTCTCTGTAGATAGCATGCGCCTCAGGAGAAGCTCCACAGTAGACACAGAGCTCAGTTATGTCGCGACTACGAAAGGTATGTCGGAGTCGGTCTCATGTTGCGTCATGGTAAGCTATGCTCCACAGGGATCTTGACCGTATCGCACAGTGATGTAGCCCTGGAAGGAAGGTTCAGATTTGATTGCCCGGAAGCAAGTCTCAGCTTGGCCATCGACGCGTGAAAAGTGGAAGGCATAAGCTTTGTGGCTCGAAGTCGCGCATTCAACGTCGAGGACTCGGTCGTATACTAGATCGGAGTAGTTTCTGAAGTATCTCTCCCATGTGGCAAGTTCCATTACCCGTTCTGGTCCCTCGACTATAACCACACGGCTGTAATGTCGATCGTTCCGAGGGTAGCCATGTCTGTTATACGTGAGCCGCAAGCGTTTACCTCGCATCCAGATAGTCTTCTCCATCATTAAATGTGCAGCCTCGGGTCCCATAAAGACCAGTTTGGCAGCTTTCGTGATATGCGTGCCACCAGCGGGACTAATGTGTAGAGCAAAAACGGCGCCGACGTCGATTTTATCGAAGATGTCCGAATGACTGACGATCTGTGGGATATTGGTAATGAAAAGAGCGCAATTTTTGTCATTGGGAAGGTCGGAAAGTTGGCCTACATATGAGATGGAGTCGCCGTGGTATCTTGTCTTCGAGTTGTCAGAGCCATGAGCGGAAGATTCTAAGAGGCCCTGTTGCGCCAAGGCCATTTTAGTTGGCCGGAATGGATGCAAGACTGGTGGAGTCGCAGTAGCGAGCGTATTTGATGCGTCTGGAGGCGAAGTCGGCAGGTTCTGGAGTACCTGAGCTCTGACTAGCGCAATGCCAAAGATAACATCATGTTCTTGTGTGGTCTGGTATGATGGGGTCAAGTTGCGTTGATGAGTATCTTGAGAAGACTGGGACGATGACCCGCTCTGGATAATATCACCGTAAAGAGTCAGCTCCTTTGGAGTCTCAGGCTGCGAAGACGTTGGACTCTCTGCCATAACTAGGGCAGAAGCTTTTAGGGTATCGTTCGTCGGGGTTTCGGTGACAGGGGTAATTGTCTTCTCTGGACTTGGGAAGAACCGACTATTTACTAGAGGGGACTGAGCAACTACAGCATTGATTAGAGGCTTTATTGAATGATTTGAACGCAACCTACCTATGGGAAAGTGGTCGTCCGCTTGGAAGGTAGCCCACATGCTAGCGGCGAACTCGAGCTCTTCCCAAGACGCGCGGGTAGTGTGCCATCTTGAAGGAGTACGCTGCATGCGGGACATATTGTTTGACCGTGTAGCGAAGGAGCAAAAGACGCAATGATAGCAAAATGCGGGTTGGTGCAGTGTGGCGGCTTGTACAAGTAGACTCAATATCGTAGTATTGGGTTTGTTGCGGTGCAAAAGAGGTTCTTTTTGAAGTTGGAAAATGAAGAATTATTCCTCAAGGAAGGCACCAGTTTATACTTTTACATCCTCTGGTTGTTTTCTCCCTGTTCCGACTTGCTGCCTCGGCTACTGGCCCTGCCTGTTATTGGATCCCGAGTTGAAAGACCAAAAACAAATTTCTGATAGTTATAACTGGGCGGCGAAGTTTCCAATAGGCCGGAAAATAATCACATGCTTTGAACCCTGATGAAACTATATGTTTTCAAGAGAAACTGTGGATGAGTTCCACATATAAAAGAGTGAAGCTTTAAGTTAACTCGACCCTCATCCTATTGTCTACAGACGATATATCGTGAGCTGCTAGCTAGCCCTTCTTGCTATGTATGCTTTATAGCAACTTCCGCTTCGAAGAATGGCTAACAAAAAAAGACTTAGAGCCTGAAGGTCACGCAACTACGTGACCAGCTATTGTAATCGAGCAAACTTGCAGCAAATGGGCGCGAGGCTAAGGAACACAAAGGGAAGGAAACAAGCTGACGGACAGGATACAGAAACAGCGCAATAACAGCAAAGCAGCCATTTGCGCTGAACCGTAATCCAGGTGTTAAAGTCGTACGGATCATCAGTCATCTAGCGCATTTCAATCCACGGGCTCAGGCTTGATTCGAGCACCATTTTCCACAATGATTCCATCGACTTCCTCAAGTACGATGACCTCATCTCCTGGATCTTCTCTTTTGATATCGACGACGTCGATGTTGGCGCTGCCCCTTCCTGGGACCGATTGAGCCAAGACCACCGTCTCGACTCCCACAGGACTCATGTCCTCCGGTCCCATGGGTAGTGAGTCGATATCGATCTCCATATTCAGCAAGCTCCTCAGTACAACCTCACAGCCAGCTTTGCTCATAACCTCATTTGCATGTTTGCAAGTCTCAGACGTCACGCATTCCATGCAGCCCTCGTGACAGTGGCAAGCCTCGACTCTGCGGACAGCTTGTTTCAATAGCAAGTCAATGAACTCAAAGGCTTTGGTACTGATACCGGAGCCGCCTGCTCCTCCCTTTGCATCGTAGAATGTCAAGCGTGCGGGTCGTTTGCGGGCGGTTTCCTTCTGCGCAAACTCCTTCACTCCAACTTTGCACTCGGTGCGCACATCGCCCGGCATGCTGATGACGAAGTTGGGCATCAAACTTAGGATCGCGTGTTCTGCTGCGTGGATCGCGCCTGCAACGTTTAGTCGTCGCTCCTGCATAATCTCCAAGGCTTGCTTTGGCAGATCGAGCCACATGCCTTTGCTGAACCGAATAATAGGTGGATTATCGACCTGGACAGCATCGAGAATTCGGCGCTTTTTGTCTACTTTGAAGAAGCCGTAGACATTCTGTTGTATCTTGATTTGACCATAAAATGCCTTCGAAAGAGATTTGGGAATCCGGCAGATGGCTTCTGTTTCGACGGGATCGATATCGGTATAGTCTCGCTGCTGAGTTGTCCAGTCTACCTTTACAAATTCAACTTTGGCAATCTTCCGATCTGGATTGAACTCCTTGACTAGGTATTTGTTGCCCTGGTGGAGGAAGATTCCACCATCGTATAGAGTGAAGAATGCTCGGGAAGCTTCGAGCTCCTCCAAGACGATGTTTTTGCCGTGGCTGATATCCACAATAGCGAAGTGATCCTCTTCTGTTTCTCGAATCGCAACGAATTTCGAAGGGACAGGACGAAATCTTTCGTGGCAATGGTAAAAGCCGAGTTCATCCTTCGTTAGCCTCTCTGCTGCGACTTCTCCTAGCAGTTTCCCAAAGTATACAGAGTCTTCATCAGGCCGAATTGGCATCTCGTATGCAGCACACTGAATATGGCCTTCTAGAACAAGCATGTTCTGTAAATCCACTTGAAGTTCACAGTTGGGTTTGGTAAAGATTTCGTCTGGATTTTGCATGTAGTACTGATCCGTGGGAAAACAGTCTCCCACCAGAACTGACAAGGAGTCCTTGTTTCTTCGACCAGCTCTGCCACTCTGCTGTCGCAGATTTGCGATAGTGTACGGAAACCCAACAGTGATCACAGCATCGAGAGATCCGATATCAACACCAAGCTCAAGAGCTGTGGTTGCAACGATCCCCATCAACTTCCCTTCAAACATTTCACTTTCAATGCGGCGCCGATCCTGAGGTGTGTAGCCACCTCGGTAGCCCATCACTTGAGCCATGCACTCAGGCCGCTCTAAATTAGCCAGTTCTTGCTTCACGGCACTGATGAGAGCCTCGCACCCTTTTCTCACCCTGCAAAATGCTATGACCCGAACGCCTCGCAATATTAGTTGACAAAACAGTCTTGCCGACTCTGCCATGGTGTCTCCACGACCGCTTGCAGGATCTGCAGGATCCTTGAAAGGCGTATTCCAGCATAGAAACTCCTTTCTTCCAGATGGAGATCCATCAAAGTCTGTCATTCGTACATTCTCAATCCCAAAAATAGTCTTAAAGTGTTCCTCCGGGTTCGCCACAGTTGCCGAGCAAGATATGAACTTTACGTGACTATTTCCCACTGCAGCGCATATCCGTCTCAGCCGCCGCATCACGAGAGCAACGTGTGATCCAAATAGCCCACTGTACACATGAATCTCGTCTACGACGACATACTTCAGGTTCTTGAGAAAGGTGCGCCACTTGTCTTCCTGCGGTAAGATGGTAATGTGAAGCATATCTGGATTCGTGAAGATGATTCGCCCTTGATCTCGAATCATGTTCCGGTCGCTCATCGCAGTGTCTCCGTCGAACGTCTCTACTATAGTCTCTTCAAGACCAGTCATGAATCTCATCATCTCTTTTAGACTTCTTCTTTGATCTTGTGCCAAGGCTTTTGTGGGGAAGATATACATGGCCCTGGTGTTGTGATCCTTTTCAAGCTCGTGAAGTACAGGAATCTGATATATCAAAGATTTCCCCGAACTGGTGGACGTAGCAACGATAACATTAGACCCATCATGGAGATTGTTGATTGCTTCCGCCTGGTGAGCATAAAACTGGGTGATGTTTTTCGTGTTGTAAAGAGCATTTACCAAGTCCTGGCTCAGTTGAAAATTCAAGTCACCATAAATAGCTTCTTGAGGATCAAAAACTCGATGGCCATCGGGGACAATTTGTCCTGTATACCACTCGCTTTCCTTCATCTCATTAATAATTTCGGAAACAGATTTCCGCTCCGCCGGGATGGACTTGGGTAATATGCTGAACTCTGGTTTCGGCGTCGTACTCCGTGAGAAACTTGGTGTTGGTATATATGCTTCGGACTCTTCCTTTAATGTCTCCTCAGGATCTTTGCTCTCAGCCTCGCATCTGTTGAGGAATGCATTGATAGCAGAGCCAAATTTGGTGTTCCGCTTCTCGATTAGATTCATCAACTGCTTTTGGCTGAATACCGGCATCTTTAAATCTTCGTCTTTGAGCTTCCTGTTAGCTCTCGTAGCTTCCCCCGTCTTCTTGTCCTGGACTTGGCGTTTCAAATCGCCGTCGACATATTCGAAGTATAGCACCTCTTCTCCATTTCCAGTTGTTCTGTCTCCATAACCCAAACCTTCCTTCCCAGTGACACCGCCAACTGAGGCATCGGTTGGCGGAGCAGGAGTGAACCAATCTTTTTTACCTCCTCTAAACGTATCGTCTCTTTCCGAACCCCGCACATCAACCTGCAGCATTGCCTCATCCACATAAGCAAAGTTCATGCCACCTGGACGCAAGGCCACAATCTGTGCCACCTCCTCAATCTGCAATTGCCGCTTGATGTGCCCTTCCACTGCAGTCTTTATGGTATCGAAGGTGGTAATGACATGTTTTCGAGTGCTGCAGAACGTGTACACGAGATTGAGTGCTCGGTGTGTCTTCTCGAGTGACTGAAAGGGCGTGGGCCATGGGACGGCACTCGTGACTGGATCTGAGAACGAGGACGCATTCCGGACCAGCTTAGAGAGTTGTCTCGGTTTTTGGACACGTCGTGCTTTCGTTCCGCCGTCGTGGCTCTTGGTAGGGACTGTGGAAGTAGTCGCCGCAGCTGTATGTAAGGATTCTCGCGCCGGCGTGTTTTCTCGCGGTATAACATCCTCCACGTCTTTTCGTTTGCGTTTCCGAACTATTTTGTTGGATACCGTGGCAGCCTGCAACCCTGCCATTGCGAATGAAAGTGTGAGTTCTTGACATGCAGGGTCGGAGTTTGAGACATCTAAACCACCCAAGAGTCATTGACGCCATCAATTCAAAGTCGCGTCAAAGCGCGACATTCAAATCCCGTCATCACGTGTGAATTCAGGGGCTCCAGCCTATTTAGGCAAATATCCGATTGTTGTATATGGGTAGTATATTGTACTTGCGATATAAAAATTATTCTACAATTTCCGAATATTTCTTATCTTTCCATATCAGAAGGTATCTTTTCCGGTTCCAACTTCAATTTCCTTTGAGAAAAGGCTTTCTTTTGCACCAAGAACCTACACCTGAAAGCTCTTGTTGGTTCCTTTCAAGATGACCCACAGAGCATGAGCACGGTCTTTATCAATTCCGAATTAGGTATTCAGAAACTGAAGAAAGGAAGGAGAATGTTGTTCCGATGTGGTTTCGCACAAAGATTCTTTAACAATAACATGGTTTTTTAACAATGCGCTTATCGAAACCCTCCCCCGCCCCCAATATCAAAATGTTGCTCAGATAGGTATTGCATCTAACACATCAGCAAACCAAACAACATTTAAATCCCATCCCCCATACTTCCATGCCGTTAATTGATCCATTCATTCATCCATTTCATTACATTCGCTATAAAACTAGAAACGTGCGCGCGCGCGGGCATAAATGCAATCAATCATCCAATTTGCTCATTTGCTCGCTTGGCCCCAAACACCTTTCTGTAATGCTCTTCCTTGATGTGCAGTTTTCAAATGCTCCTCCGATAATTATGCCAGCCAGCCGTAATTCGTGATTTGATTCCACGCACCTGTCTTCTTTCCATCTTCTCACCCTGAAGGGACCTAATTTTCAACTATACCGCACGGTATCGTCCGGGAATTATATCGACTCGGATTTGGAGTCGTTTCCACAATAGATACGGTTTTACCAATCCACAGCCCAACCGTTCTCCTTCAAAAACTCCTCGCAAGCTGCTTTTAAAGCGAGGTTTGGACGCAGGTCTTCGACGCGCAGGGGGTCGCGGGTTAGGGGGTCGGTGGGGGAGCGTTTGAGGTGCTCCATGATGGAGGAGCGCTCGTAGGAGTTTCCTGTTTTCGTCTGGTTTGGGAAGGTTGGTTAGCAGAGGTTTTATGTATACAGGGAATGGGACGGAATGGTAGATGAGGTGTGATGAGAATGGATGGACATACCACAACAGGATCAAGCATAACACCAAATTGTATAGCATCAATCGCCCAATCCGGAACTTTCCTCCTCTCCACCTTCCCAGCTGCTTCAAACGTCGCCCGAACATCCGCAATCATCCCCTCATATTCCCTCCTTATCCCCTCCTCACGCTCCTTTCCCCCTTCTCCCTCCACACCCGCATCCCCTAGTCCCGCAATCTTCCCATCCCTCTCCCTCTCCAACGCCCCTACAACACTCCTCAATGTCCCCTCCAACCCCGCCAGCCGCACCTCCTCCCTCCTCTCCCAATCCTCCTTCAAACACCGCATAACCAACTGACTAATAACGCCCAAACTCGCTCCCCCCTTCCCGCCCCCCTCAATCTCCTTCACACACAGCGCGTGCGCTTTACGCGAATTCACCACCGCTTCCGCGGTTTCGTGGAGTGCGATTTGGGCTTGGGCAAGGTAGTAGTAGGCTTTCATGTTTTCGGGCAGGAGCGCGATGGAAGCGGAAGAGGCGGTTATGACGCGGGCCCAGGAGGAGAGTTTGAGGAGGGCCATGGCGAGGTTAGTGTGCAGTAGGGGGTTGGTGGGGTCGTGGGGATATACTGGGTTGGGTTGTATTAATGAATGAATGAGTGATTAAACCTATGGGACGGATTGGGATCTAGGGCGGATAATGGGGAATGGATGGGAGGGGAGAGGAGATGTGGAAGATATAAACGTACGCTTTGGTATAAGAAACTTCTGCATTTGTATAGTCGCCGCGCTGGAAGTAGGCGTTGCCTTGTTCTTTGCACTCGAGCGCTTTCTTCTGATCGGGTGGTAGATCGCCTGCCATGTTTGTTGTTTGGGGGTTTGTTTGTTGAAGCTGTTGTTTCGATTTCGTGAGATATGATGTGATATGATGCAATAAAGTGCTAGGTATTGTAGTGCAGTGAAGTCGAGTTGAGTATTTGTTTGAAAGAGCCTAAATGCTGGCATGTGAGAAGACAGCCAGGCTTTGTTGGTTGCAGGGCCAAGCACTCACTCAGCCTTACAATACGTGTACGTCTCAGGTAAGCAAATGTTTCGACAATACCAACGACTCGGTTTAGACACAGTCCTCGTGCTTTTGAATCGGAATCTGGGGAAATGCAAGCAAGAATTACCGAGTCTGTTAGTTATTGTGGATGTGGGATGTGATTGAGTCAAGACTATGAATGTGAGGTTGACTGCTGTCAGCCTTGTGCGCCGGACGAGATTGGTAAGTGAGTGGCCGAGATGGAATGTTCGAGAAGTGAGTGATTGACTGGCTAATAATAAGGCATAATGTACAATGAATCACGATTGCACTATTATCTATAGGTCTATTATGATAAATTAGAGGTGTTATTGACCTTGTAAGTTTTATATTCACATGCTATACTAGCGCTATCCTGAATATCTGTGACCAGTCACGCCTTACCGTTTTTAAGCAAGATGTTGAAAGAGGATGTGATCAGGACTGTATCCATATCATCAGCTATTATCAAACGCTTAGCTTTAAGATTCTCCGGTTACTACATGGTATCAAAGTGATGAGGATTCTCAAGCCGTAATGCCGGATAAACTGGCTTCTGTCACGTATACCCCAACGGTTACGAGCAACTTGAAAAGTTATATCGGTGAGGGCGGCCGTGACATGTCAATACAGAGTGGAACGATATAACTTTCCCATAGGTGTGTGTATAGTCTTGTGAGATTCGTCTATTTCTTTGCATGCTGTCTTTTTGTACAATACAGTTGATTTAATTGGCTGCCAACCGTTCACGTCTATCACTCCATCCCTATGCTGCAAAATCGATTGTTGCTCAGAAAGGCTAGGAATTATTAGCAATGCCCAGCAAAGTAACGTGGTACTAAAATGAAGAGAGAAGGAATAGCGCTTGCTATTCCGAGAAATCAGTATAGGCAAAGCTTCACTTGTAGCTCAGAAAGCCCGAGACGCAACATCTTCCACTATAATAGGTCTCCCGAGTCCCAACACTATGGCACTTGGAGCATGCCCAGTCCTCCCTTGGAAGTCAAAGTTCAAAACCAAAGTAAACCCAAGTACGTACGTTGTCCGAAGCCGGGATCTCCCTTACGAAATGATCACCAATGACTGGAAGTTTCTAGTATCTCATCAGCACCTGTGTCCCATTCCAGCAACTTTTCAACATACAATCATGATATCATGCCTGACTCTGGGTATGTCGGAAAAGAAGAACAAAGCGAAGACGCCGGCAACGCCTCCGAAGGCACCTAATGTCACGCCCCTGTGTCCCAGTATCATTAGCTTAATGTTGCTTTCCAACTACGATCTCTTATTACGCGCGGTCGTTTCTGTACGCCAGGCAATGGTCGGGGTATTGAGGTTCGGTGAGGGATCCAACATACAATTTCGCCGCGCTCTTGATCGTAAATCCCATTACATTTGGCTGGAACTTGTACCTATTCCAACTATCAGCATGTATCCCATTCCACAGTTTTGGCAACTGCCATTGTGACATACTTGGGACCGTAAGGACTCTTGTAGGAGGAATAACTTCGAGGACCGGTGACGGGCGAGATGCCGGTGGAGCTGTGATACTGCGCGCGGCTAGATTAGCACTGCTGATGGGTAGGGAAGCTGGAGGATATGCATACTTCGCCACTCATGATTGTTAGGTTGTGCAAGAAGAACTGGTGGTGGTTCAATTGGGGTTGAGGGGGCAGAGAGAGGAGGTTGAATTCATGTCGGGGCTAGCCGGGTCGTATTGTTTTTTGAAGATCATGTGACTATACTAAGAAGTGAAGTCTCTGGAGCTCCTGAACAATACCTTTGAATGTTGAAGTAAGTTTAATTTCCTTCTAAATTTCTTTTAAAATGTCTTATTGTCAAAGATACAGAGTATCTAATGGCTGTTTCTGCACGTGATACAGCCTTACAAGTCCGTTTTTTACGTAGCGTACACCCTTGTCAACCCCGCATCAGGACTGTATCCCAAAATCCCAAAAGAAATGCATCATGCCATCCATGATCCCAGTTAGTAGTCAAAATCGTGTGGGCATGGCCTGATAATCTAAAGAAGGCTGACTCCCCCGTACTTTCTGCGAAAGACGATAGGACTACTCGTAGAAGTCTGGGATTCTGGGAATATCTCTCAAACCCCGGAGTTCAGCTCCTACTGTAGTAACGTAACCACACCCAAAGGGACCCAGAGGGAAACTCCAAGTTGCCCTTCTTCGATATCATTTGTCTTTCCCTTCAATCCGGCCTTACGGTACATTATTACTTTCGCTTTCACTTATTCATCTCTCCACATAATCCCACTGCCTGCTTAACAAACTCTTTGTCCTGATTGGCTGGTTGCATCTCCACCCTAATCTACCCGCATAATCGGGCAACAGGCTGACTCGCTTGATCCCGAGTTTTACCTTGGGACGAAGACGAAGAAATGCAACCTCCGTCATATCATCATATCATATCCATCCATCCATCCATCCCACTTCAACTCTATAACTGCGTACCCCGCTTCCGCTTCCACTTCATCACCTTTCTTCTTTGCTCAACGAACAGTATCGTCAATTAAACGACTTAGATCACTGTTTCTATTGTCAAAGGAAAGACTATTCGCATTATTGTAGGGGAGAGCTTGTTGGATAGACGGGAGTACCCGGAAATCAACGCAGGGCTTGTTCGAGGACAAAGGGACAAGACATACACCGAATACAGCGACCACACCAGGAGGGCGAGGCCGAGGCCGAGGCTGTTAGAACGTTGACAAACAGAGATCCTGCTACAGAGGACCATCGACGCACAAGGGGAGCTTGAACACCACCCGGGCCTCACTCATCAGCCCTTCACCATAACTTCCTCAAACCAAAACTACACCCCATGAATCCCTCCAGAAATCCAGACATGCCAACCCCAACCCCAACCCAGCGCCCCTTCTTCGCCTCCTTCCTCGCCGCCTTCCGCGCCCACTCCTCCATCCCCCAACCCAAAACCTCCCCCTCTCCCACACCCGCATCCACGCAATCACCATCCACATCACAATCACACCCCACCTCGCACACCCAACCACGCACCATCACCTCAAAGCCAGGTGCTACATCAGCCGCACTCTCAACCCTGCATTCCCCTCGCACCCATTCCACCTCCCCGCGCGCAGGGCCAGAACGCCAAACAGAAGGTGCAGGCGCAGGAGCAGGGAGATATCCAACGAGGAGGGGCAGTGATAGTAGTAGCGAAGGTTTCAGGGATGTCCTGGGGAAGGAAAAGTGGTATATTGGTGGGAGAACGGCGACGGGCGAGGAGAGGTATTTTAAGCTGGGTGTGGTGAGGCGGCAGAGGAGTGGCGATCGGTTGAGTTTGGATAGATTGAGTTTGTGAAGCGGGCGCCATATACATACAGGGCTGAAACGAAACCAAAGAAAAGGAAGTGATATCCATGAACGATTGGGATAATGAATCGGAAGAGTGGGAATAACGGGTTTGCATATATTGGGTCTGGGTACAAGTATGTTTGAATCAACCAAACATTCTCTGTCGTTATCAAAGAGATACACTGTTCAGATTAATCGGCGTTTTGGACTCAACTCGGGACTGGGATTGGGGAGTGGGCGGGCGGGCGGATGGTTTGAATTGGATCCACATGCCCATGCACATATAGATATACATACGGTACACATCAGATAGTTTCTGGTGATACCTTAATAGAGGACAGACAACTCTACACAATAAAAGCTCTTTTGCCAACTACATACGAGTAATCGTCCATCCATGTCAGCGATTCACGTGATAGACGTCGTTGCATTAAGGAGCGACGTAGAAGATTACTTGCTTACTTAGCTATTTATGCATATTTTGCTGGCAATCTTGTAATCAATGTCACGTTTTCTTTCACATTGTCCTGCGAGTAAATTCTACATATGTATATACCGGTATTATACATGTTCTTCATCTCGGCACATTTATGTTATATTATACGGTCCACAACCCAAACACAGCCAGCCCATCATATCATACACCCCCCCTCCCCTCCCTCTCTCCCTTTCCACCCCATTTCACAATCCCTCCTAAACGAATAAATAAACACACCACATAATCCTCACTCACCACATAAACCTCTGCACCACCCCCTTTTCTTGCATCCACTCAAACCCCCTGTACAAAAACACATACCCCGTAACGCCATTAACCAGCAGGAACCAACCTGTTTCTCCCCAGAGCCTCCAATCATAAGCACGTTTCCCGTTCCCCGGTACATGCAAGCGCCACAAAACCCACGGCACGATGAAATACCGCGGCTCGACGAGCGGTGCTGTGACGAGGGATAGGGTGGTGGTTAAGAGCAGGATCAGGACGAATGATGTTTTGGGGCCTGTCTCTTGCGGCGAAAAAAGTGGGGTTTTGGGGGTGGAGACTTGTTTTGGAGATGGAGATTGAGGTGGTGATAAAGGTGATGGAGGTGAGAGGGTGAGTGAGATCAAATAGGCGCAGACCAGGTAGACAGGCGCGAGCAGGTAGCGGATACCAGTGTGTCGTAGGATGCTGTAGCGGAAGACGTAGAAGATGTAATGCCGGTTATCGGCTAGTGTGAAGGGGTGGATGATCGTGTTGTACTTTATTATTCCCAATGTGAGTATTAGCGCTGCAGCTATATATATGGCGTTTAAGGCGTATGTGTATTTCCAAGCCCGCGGACTGGAGGGGAATAAAGTGGATGAGAGTAGGAAGAGAGCGGGGGGAAGGATGAGGGGGAAGGAGAAAAAGGCGATGAAGGGCCAAATGTAGAGGAGTTGCGGAAGGTGGATTGTCGCGACGTGGTTTGATTTGTCGCCTTGAGTCTTGTTAGTAGGGGAAGAGAAGAAGGCGCATGCATACATGGAGAGGGGGAGAGAGATATACCTAGGACGACGCCTCCGTTCCAGAATACAAAACCTGCGAAAGAGATGAGGAGGGCAATGTAAGGCCATAGGCTGGCCAGGATTAAGACTGGTTTGGAGATGACGGCTACTCCTATACTGAGGGCGCAGAGTATGGAATCTAGGAATGAAAAGGCGTGAATGAGTAAATTCAGAGTGCTGAGCGGGGTTGGAAGTTTAACTTACCATGAACTCCAGCATCCCTGAGAAAGGGATCGTGGATGTCGCCTCGACTCCATTTCTTCAACGTCGACACAACATTTTCCTGCCACGTTTTCGGCACTGACTCCTTGCTCGATGCAGGAGATTTATTCCCCTCGATCGTCCGCACAGCCTCCAAACCCCCCATAAACACAGCAACCCAGAAAACATTCGTTTGCCTCATCGTCAACGCCACCATGCCCGTAAAGTACAGCCACACCTTCCCATCCCCCCTCCCGCCCTGCAAAAACAGCGTATACATCCGCAACACCAACGCCGTCGAAAGGACATCCGTATAGAACAGTCCAGAAAAGAAAAACAACGGAGGGAATAAGGCGATGTTGAGCGCTGTATGCAACGTCTCCGCCGATACAATCCCCGCTTTGAGGTTTTTGAGAGCGGTACCGGGACGAGATGAGATGAGAGCCCGACAGTCGCAGGCATAGATCATAGTAAAGAGTAGCGCGAAGACGTTGAAGAGACGCAGTTTGTATACATCGCACGTCCCGTTGATTTGCGTCTTGATGAACATTACCGCGAATGCATATCTATGCATTCATATCTCTTACATCAGCCAACTATCCATCAATATACTCCACTCTCCCAAGATGTACAATACCAATGTATAAAACAAAAACATAATACAATACAACAATACAGTAAGAATAAACAAACTCGAAAATGCGCAAAGCAAAGCAAAAAGAACCAACTCACAACCCAGGCGGCGTAGTCAATTTCGAATCCCACACCCCATACCTCCCCTCACAATACGCCAGCGCCTGCGGCACATGGAAAACCTCATCTAGATACGGCTGCGGCACGATGCTGATCACCTGACCATGCCAGTACTTTGCGAGGGCCCCGAGCGTAAGAAAAGAAACGAGCGCGAGGAGTTTGGAGGGACCCAGCAGGAGGTGCGTGGGTGTGTCGTGGAGGAAGAGGATGCCCGGGAGCCATTTGGGCCCGTTGGAGGGCATGGTGATTAGTGCGTGATGTGATGCGCAGAAGTTGAGAAGGGGTGAAGTTGTGAGGATGCCCGGCTTATTTTCGGGGATGAGGCTTTGGACGCGCCATTCTATTTGGTGGCATCTTTGATTGTCAACTTCTTTTCTAGCACGACAATATTCCTTACAGCTCGAATTGAAGCACTGTTTTTGATTCATATGTTATAAAGTACTGAGTAATGCATAGGTGTTTGGGTGGGTGGTTCCTTCCTTAACAACGTCTGGTTCATGGCGCCAAACTGAAAATTAGGACGCGTCGTAGTCTCGCAGAGTTGCTGCTCCATTTCACTCTCAATATCTCTCACAGCTCACGTATCTTATACACTCCATTGGCACGTAGCTCTGTCGGAATAAATGTGTCAAGAGCACTTTTTCTCTTTGTGGATGTGCGATCAAGCTTTCTACGTGTTCCCTTCCGTAGAATCAGATACCCTCTTTCTCCCCTACTTCCACGCAAAAAGGACTTATGATTCCCATCCATATCTCCCCCACTTTTATCTACTTATAGCGTGCATCTATTTCTAAAAGTTGATAGTGTTTCTTTTCTTAAGACTCAGGGGTCACCCGGGAGGCTCTCACCATTTCTGGCAATTCCAGCAACAATGCCGTGCAGCGCTTATCGAAGGCGTAACTCGCAGCTGGCTTCGCACTCACAAAGAGTGTGTCGGCGTCCTATCTTTATGCTGGCCGTCATACTGCATCTATTAGTTCGGTGGAGGTCGATAACCTGTGCCTGAAGTAAAGTGTCGTTTATAGTGAAGACCCTTGGAATCTTTTCTGGATTTGTCGTTGGCGGCACCAGACTTTGGCAGGATTCTTTCCCTTTCTGCTTTTTTAAAACTGCCATTTATGTCGCTCTCTACTGTGTGTTCTTGCTATGTCATTGAAGATTTATGTAACGGTATGGGATTACGCAGCAGTAAGCCCGGCTCGTCTGTTCAGAAATGGTAATCCGACCAATGTTTCTTCGTCAGCCTCATCATTGGCAACGTTTAAAAATCGTTCACACCTCTGCTACATTCTACTTCCACCTACCCTCACAACTTTGTTTAAGATGTCTAATGGTGACTTCGGGGAAGTGATCCGATAGCGCTACTAATCCTCCTACATGCATAATGCAGAAGCACCCGAACGTACCGAGCCCCAGAGATGCGGCTCGTCTCCATTTAAGACCATACGAAGTTCGTATAGCTCATTCCCCGCTGATGTGAGAATGCCTTCAACTCTCCATGTCACACTCGCCGTCTCTATGGCCTGATGACTTATTGACCTTGTGATATGTTCATTTTGACCCGTGGTGAAAGATGGTCGGTTATAGTTCTACTCGATTAAATCTGGAAGTTCTGCTCGGATGCACCTGGGAGGCGCCGGCGAAGATGACTTCGTTGTCAAGCTCAACAGGCTCTCCCTTCTGGATGTCATCGCTAGTGGACGCATATACTGTCAACCGAGCGGTAACACAATGCGCATGACTTGAAGGTAGACTAATCAGAAATTTTCTTACAATAGTCTATGAGATTTTTGAACAGTCCCAGCAAGGATAGGAGTCTATATAAACAGCCACCAAACTTCGAAGAATGATTCTACAATCACATCTTAACATCCACATCTTTCGACATATTTCCAGAACCACTCTTCACTTGCAATCCAAGACTAATCTACCAAACCCCCAATCATGCAATTCCCTACAGCCATCTCTTCTTTCCTCGCTATCCTTAGCATGGCTACCGCATCTCCCATCATCGAAGACCGTCAAGGTAACCCCACCCCCAATCCAGACGACCACCCCATCACATTCTAACCCCCCGCCAGGCGGTGTATTCTACGCAACGCAAACCTACTACAGCGCAAGCGGCTGCACTGGAACCGCCGACGGCGAAGCCACCTTCAACACAATCAATCTCTGCCAGCCCCTCAGCACCATTCTCGGCAGCGTCGTAAGCGTTACCACAAACTCCGTTACGCAAGATCCTGCTGGATGCGTTGGTAAGTAATCTAATGAATTAGTCAATCAATCACTTGTATCTACTGTATAAATAATAGCTAGCTAATATTTCCCGGCACAAAAACAGTCCATTACTATACCAATGCCGATTGCACACAGGGAGATACCATCGGTGTTATTGGTAGCTGCGAGCAAGCCTCCGCTCCTTTCGTGGCTACGAATGTCATTTGCCCAACTTAAGACTCAAGTGGGTTGCAATCCCAAATGTGCCGCGGTTGGGAAAGAAACGGTGAGGTGTATTCATAAGTGCGAGTCAAATATTTGTTTGCTATGCCGGACCGCATTCTTTAGGCCGGTCTAGGCAGTGAGTCGGTTCGGGGTGTTCATTTCTTCGGTAGACTTGACTGTATGAGAGGTGTTGAGGGTGGTGGAGCTAGATGAAATGAAAAGTTCTATTTACTTATCACATCACCCATTTCTGAGTTTCGCGATGGATAGGAAAGGCAAGCGACTTTCTTTGTTTTAGCACGCGATGCAGCCTTTAGATTATTGTACTTGATAATGCTTGGAGATTTCGGGGACGAAGTGAAGGATAGTGCGAAGGTATACAATGCTGTGCTGTTTGTGGTATCTCACCCAGGAACGTTTAAATGGAGAACTCGGACTGTGATTGGAGCCGCTCGTGAGGAGAGATTCACACGGTCGGTGAAGCAGCGGGCAGGGTTGGAGAAGTGGGGAAATGGAGAGACTGCTAAGCAGGCATCAGATGATGATGAGGATGAGGATGTGACGAGTGAGTCAGAGGATGGTGACGTGGACGAATACTATGGTTCTGATATCTCCTTTTGACATTACCAGACATCTTTTGCTAGTTAGGTTAGCTTAATGTAATAGGTTTATTAAGCTTACTTGATTTTATAACGTAGTCTTATAAAGGCAATATCATCTCTCAAGACAAGAACAATTTGGTTTACATTAGAATCGCTGGATCATTCGCATTTCCGACTTATAGCGCACTGACTAACTAGGCTTCTCCTTGTAAATGGTTTGATAGAGTACTTCCGTAATTACTCGTAAGGGGGATATTCAATAGCAGGCGTAGAACAAGGTAGCACGAAAAGTAATATCAAAAGTAAACATAATTCCTCGCAAGGCCAACTAGTGGTGAAAAGAAGAACGGGTTATTGATGTCATGTCACGTGAGCAAACCATACCTAAAAATTGCCCACAAAACCTTTTAGCGAGTATATCTTCACCCTTGAACGCAATTTACACAGCAGACAAACCCAACCATGGCAACGAATTCGAATCCAGAGGCCGGCGAGCCGTCAATGCCAGGCATGATCCAGCCCACGAGCGGTATGTCTCCATTGCTATCATCACTGCATGCAAAAGCCTAACACAATCCACCCCACGTGCAGAAACACAACCAGAAGCATCCTCCTCATCAACATCAGAACCAGCACCAGCGTCAGCTTCCCCACCTCCCAGAAAGTGCGCGCATTGCGGCAAGCTAGAAACCAACCCCGGAGAACGATCCGGAGATAAGCCACCCGTCCAGCTGAAGCCTTGTCCCAAGTGCCACACGGCGCTGTACTGTTCCCGTGACTGCCAAAAAGCAGCGTTCAAGCAGCACAAGAAGACGTGCGCGGCCGATGCGCAGGAGTATGCGAAGACGGCGAATCTGAAGATGGCGGCGCCGGCTGGGCCGAAGAAGGATGGGTGGAGGGGTGGGTTGCAGAAATGGCAGTTTGACACGTGATGAGATGGGATAGAACGGGTTGGAGGGTGTGCGGATATTGGAAGGGGGTTTGCTTGGCCATGGAGACGAGAGGAGAGGGGAAGGAGATTCAAGAATGTTTCAATCCGTGGTTGGATTTCGTTCTTCCGTGAGACACCCTCTATACTATATTGTACACCAAACACCGATTAATTATGCTCCCCGGCCGGTATAAGCTAAGAATGCGGATATGCGTCACCTTACCGGTCTATGGTGGTCTATCTAGGTACTCACGACGTACGTAGCATTTCTCAAAATACCACAGCATAGGTTCGAGCAGATTGCGTGTTACCATTACAGACTAAGTGATTTCAAAACTTATTTACATCATATAGCATGATACACCTATGAAAACCACTACTCCCACATTCAACAAAGTCCTGAACCCAACTTTACGCTGCCCTGTTTCATTGTACTAGCATTTGCCGCTACAGAGCCTACCGGTATAGGTGTATTCGGGCAAGAGCGGAGACCGCAGCCATTGTAGGTCTGAAAACCTGTATTTGTGGTAGAAGGATTTTGGACCGCAGCCACGGAAGATGTTTAGGAGGCAGAACTGGTGAAATATCCGTCTGGTCTGATAGTTGAAGCGGTTTATAGCCGATGCTGAACGAGTGGTGTTCTGCTGCAGTATTGAGAGGCCATTGTTTGGAGGATTTGCTGAATCATGTCAGTCGAGCAAGTAACGAAAAGGAGGCAATCCGCTTATATTAGTTCTCCAAAAAATGTTAATTGCCGTACCTTCAAAATAGCTATTCAAAACAATATAAACAGCTTCCGTTTCCTCGCATCCAGTCCATATGAATTTGAATCGCTTTCCTGGAACGGGGAGTTGGTGATGTTTCGCTCGCTGTAAAATGCTACGCCAAATTCCAAACATCGACGATATGAAGCACACGGCAACCCAAGTCACAAGCTTATAGTAAGCAACCCTTTAGCGGTAATCTTTGTATACTGCAAGACTGCGATTAGGCAAGGACAACAAAAATGCCTAGGCATTTTGCGATTTATGATTACATTCTCCGCCATCGTGAATTGCTGCGTCTAGCATGTCTCCTAATTCCGTCCATAGGCTTCGCAGAAACATCAGGTTGATTGCTTCCGTGTTTTCTTGGGGTAAATCGATATCGGTCACTCCTTTCGTTTCGGCTGAGAGGGAAATTACTAGAAGCGAGAGCGGCCATAAGCGCCTTGTTCTTTTTACTTTGAAGGGGGTTAATCTGCTGATCCAGTTCACGTGATCATTGGAGAAGTTCACGATTTGGCCCACTGTAGCGAGTAAAAATGACGAGCCTCGTATGGTTGTTATTACATTATTAAGTACTTTTTTTCTATTGACTGACTCGTAGGTTTAACAGGTTGTATGCTGAAAATGACGAAGAGGGGACGTGCTACCTTTAGTAAGCGACGAGGTGATCCACCCTCTAACAAACTCTACGATTACTTCCCATATATATTGAAATGAGCGCTTAATCATCTCAAAAACAACCCAACAAGGCGGCTTTAGCTCACTTGGGAGAGCGCCAGACTGAAGTCAACTTCTGTCATTAATCTGGAGGCACTGTGTTCGATCCACAGGTATGTTGCATCATTAGAGATTCTGTTAATTCAAATATTAATATCATCTTTAGAAGCCGCAAACTTCTGCGAGTTGAGGATCACTTCAACTAGAACAAATAACTTTTTTGTATTTTTTCTGACTTTTTGAGATGATATTTGGTGGCTTTTTTGGTCGGCTAAATGAGGGGTCGCGGGGTGGGTCCACAATACGCTCCGTATAATAAGTTATATGATATTTTATTGGAAATCATGCTGGGATAAGGGGCTGTATCCCGAGCTTTCTAGTCATGTGACTTAGCGTAGCTTAGTCTGCGAAGAGGCATAACCTCTTCGCATACTCAACACTATAAATGCTAAGCAATATCAACCAGAACCAAGCATTAAGTCTATACTATGTAGTAGATAAGTGATCACGGACACCTGTGATGCCAATAAATCATGAAGTATAATAAATAAACAGACATATTCTGATTATGTTTTTGTTAGGCAGAGACGACTACTAATACATCCCTATTTGAGAGAGTTGCGTCAGGGTGTTTTTCATTATGAGGCTACTTCAGCAGCTTCAGCTTCTACAATAGCGCACCTTTATACTCGGTTGAGAACGGGTTAAAATGATATACTTCTAAACTACATCGCACATTTATAATCGTAAGCATGTAAATTGGTTGTTGAAAGCAGCATTTAGATCGGACTTTACTAACTTTACCAGAGATACAAAGCATCAATAATAATATTGTAATATGACCAGCAAATAATCTATGTCTCCGAGATGGGCTGTATGATTTTCTTGCAAATAGAGAAAAGCGAAACAGCATCTAGAACATCTAGTGTTGTAAGCTCGACACCTAATTCTACTTTCACGAAGTTTCGGAATTCGATAGCTGCTAAGGAGTCGATACCATATATCGACATGATTTTGATTTATTTTTCGGCTTAATCAACCTTAAAAAAGAACGTAGTGGTTAAATCAGCTACAATGCCCTACGGAGGAGTACTATAACATTTTCCGAGGTGGGGACCAGCGATTTAAAAAGCAAAGGCAAAAATGTTCTTACCTTTGATGTGGGACTAATCTTTCTGGAACGAGATTTTGATAGTAAGAGTCCCGTAAATACTAGTCCGAGCGATTGGAAGTAGCTCTAAAATTGTACCTGTCCGGCGGGCTGCAACAGGCATGCTTTTTTCCAGAAACAATAACCGTTACCAGGGGACTTCTTCGCCCTTGATGGCGTCAATGAACTTTCCAGACGTGCTCTCAAGACTTGCCTTTTCAATCTGTACCAGTTAGCCTCTGCGGTGCAACAAATTCTAACCTTCACGTATATACTTACAAGATTGATAATATGCTCGGCACAGTACTCCTGGGTATAGGGTGCCTTCTCTAGTCCCAAGAACTTGGCAGTTTTATTGCCCATATCAGTTGCAACAAGACTATTGTCTTAAATTAGTTTCATCACTACTAGCCAAGTGCTCGGGTATGAAAGGAGGACTTACCCGGGGTTCACAGCGAAAGCAGTCAGCCATTGATTACCACAGTGTGCCGATCTGTACATGGGTTGTTGGTTATTTCTTACTCATGGAGTGCATGGAACCTACAGGGTTATCCAATTCAATGCCGCTTTGGAGACGCTGTAAGCGGGCGCGATGTAGGCCCCAAAGGCCTCCATGGCACTGATGGAACCCGCGGCACTGCTGACAGACACCCATCTCGGATTACTTGATTTCTGAAGTAAGTCCTTGGTGGCTTGGAATAATGCTAGAGGGCCGAGGGCATTGATTTTGAAGGTGGTCGACATCTCTTCCAGATCGACCGTATCAAGCGGGTCTACCGGTGGACTCACTCCAGAGTTAGCAATGACGACGTCGATATAGCGGATGCCGGCGGCTTCTAACTCTTTGAATAAAATTTTTGGGGTCAGTTGACGAAGAATTCTCGATGGTGACTAGAAGTAGCTTGGACCCATTTTCAGTTGATAAAGCCTTCAGCTCCGCAGATTCTTTGCGGGTGCTTGCGATAACAGTACAATTCGGTTGTAAAAGGTAAGCTTGGGTCAGTGCAAATCCGATACCTGTGTTGAACCATAGTCAATATTGCATTCAGAATATGATCAGGAAGACCAGCAGAATTCACCTCTGCCAGCGCCGGTGATGAATACTACTAGCGGATCGGCCATTATAGGCGACTTGCGATTCCTTTCTAGTCGACGGCGGAATGTAATCAGTCGGCTGCGTGGAGATTGGAGAACCGCCAACGGAGAAGTTGAATCCCCAGGAATAAAGCTATTATGTCGGGAATAGTTATACTGGGAATAAAACAAGCTTGAGCGGGGCCTTGTAGAATTCTCCCGAACTGCCGAGCCTCACTTTTTGATTGACCAAGTACAACGATATTGCTTTACAAGTAGTGCTCTCAATGGGTTTAGGGCCGGTTTTGACAAATTACTACAACTACCCATACTAGTATAGTTCTGGTTTCGGCTTGAAACTAAAGCTCATATATATAATAGTATTAGTAAACGGTATTATTATACCTGACGCCTTGTAGATTCATAAGTGCCCTTGCTTTAAATGGTGAACCGGTTACAGCATGTTGGCACCTAGTGACCTAGTATAGTTATTTTATTATAAAATGCCATATTTTATGGTCACAGCCCACAATTTGATATACTGGCTGTTTACTACGATGTGTTACTGGGGCAATGGTTTACCCCAAACCGACCTGACCAAACATCAGAGCATGATGATCAGCAAATGGGGCTTCATTTCGGCTATTCCCAGTATTCTAGTCTCTTTCATAGCTAGGTTTTACATTAGCATCTTACTTATTCACATCTTTGGAACTAAGAAATTGTTCAAACTGTTTCTGATTATTTGCACATCCCTTGTATCCTTCACTGGAGTCCTGAGCTTGTGTTTCCTCGCAGCTTCAAGCCGCCCCTGGAATGGGCTTTGGGATCCTACTATTCCGGCAGTAAGATTTAACCTGGAGTACTACGAGTATACCACATTCGCACTGCAATGCTGCAATGCATGCAAGTAACCAGAGTGCGACATGGGGTACTGCGTTTACGATCAGTTCTCAGAGCGAGCTGTTCGCAGTGACTATGGAGAATATGGACATTTTCAACGTGCTTGGGCAGTAAGTCATTCAATGCCAGTACTGTTCAATTGATACGTAGATACTAAAGCCTCGCAGCACCCGGTGGAAAAGGCTTTCAACTTATGAAGTACCGGCTGCGATGCCGACTTGCCCCGAGGGTAGACGCACGTGTGCTTGGCTTTGGGTCCCATTCCATTGCGGACAGCCGAACATGTATATGCAAGGTTTTAAGTACAACGTTCCCGGTGCAACTTCGACTATCCCAGTTGCCCAAGCCCAAGTACCTGTCTACTGCGCCGACGGTACAACTTGTGTCACGGGAGCAAAATAAATGATTGCTTATAACCGTAAGTCTTCTCGTGATAGATCGTTTATAGATTTAAAGCTGACAAAGACAGAACTCGACGGGAGCAATGTCGTCGCGACTACCTAGGATTCTTCACCAGGTTATGATAACAACTACGGGTGGACATCTAGAAAGCAAGCGGATTGTTCTGATGATGGGCGAGAACTGACTCGGATTTTAGGAGGTCAGAATGATATCTTCGAGTCGGCGCAGGTGAACGCCAGCTCAGCTATCACAAGCACCTTGTCCGCAACAAGTGCTCCTATATTCACACCTACGTCGTCTATCTTAGAATTTGAAGATTAAATAGCCTCATTTCTATCGCTGGTTATGACCAGAACAAGTGCGAGAGGCCACGGTTGTCTAGACAAGGGAGACGATGAGGGAAATGCTTTTGTGTCACAGCATAGGGCCATAGTTGTTCGTACAGGATTCTATCAACTGCGAAACATACTTTCGTGTACTATGCATTTATAACAGAATTTAGATCAGCGATCTTGATAGTTAGTTCAAAACTAGACTATGGTAGTTAACTTGCTTAACTTAAACAGTTAAACAGCATTTTCCGACCTTTTCTAAGAACTATAAAATTATATTTCCTTAAGTGGTCAGTGGACTAGTATAACCGGCTAGCTTTAGAGATTATCAGATATCCCTCTAAAAGCCTTTATAGAGGCTAAAAGGCTATAGTATTTCTTACTTTCTAGCCTAAATCATTTCTGATTTTACTTCCTTTCTATTCTCTCTTTTTTACTTCCATCTCTTGTCTTTAGCATGTCTTAAGCCTCAATTTCTAACAATAGACAGTATCCAGGCAATAACTAATCTATTTTCACGCAGGGAGTAATTGCGAATGGTGGAGGGGTTAATGTGAGGTGAGGTTCTATAATAGCTCGGATTTAAGCTTCGGATATAGAAGTCTGGATCATGGTACTGTACTTTATGACACAGTGCTTAGCAAAGAACGACAGGAATAGCTATTGATCGACTATATTGTTCTTCTTTCACTCATGGTCGTTGCAGGTGACTATGGCACGGCTTCACCGGACCACGAATACCAGTACCAGTTGTCAGCATTCGCATCATTCGGAACTTGCTTCGGGCCCGAAAGTGCAAGATTATTGGTATACAGAACGAGCATGCATTGATTCAAGCTTTGGATTTAAGCATATTCTACGTAAAGATGACGCATAAGTCTATTTTTAACCTTATGCTAGTCACATCTCTTCCTCTTTAATTCCACCCAGCATGTCAAATATATATATATATATATGTATCATATAAACCCAAACCCAACCAAACCCCTCTCTATCCACTAAACCCCTAACCTATTCCCCTACCATCCAATCAAGAAACAACTATATCTCCTGCCATACATATTTGATTTCCCCGCAATTCCACCTCCCATCATCTACCAACCCCAAGCCATGGCAGGAACAACCAACATATCCCTCGTTAAATCCACCGAAGGAGAAATCCTAGAAATGGGCCCCGTCAAAATCCGCATCATCGAAGACGGCTCAAACACCGATAACCGCATTGGCGCCGTCATGCTAACCATCGCGCCCAATACCCCCGGCCCGGCTTTACACTGGCATCGTATGCACGACGAGACATTCCTGATCACAAAAGGGAAATTCCTTTTCACAACCGGTAATACCCAATCCTAACTCCACTCCCCTTCCCCCCCCCCCTTCTCATAGACCCCACCCCAAACCATATCTCCAAAAAAGACAATCTATAAACTACAAACCAAATAACTCCAACTGCAACCAATAGACAAAGGCACACACACAGCCTCTGCAGGAGACTACGTAATCGTACCCCCAAATGCAATCCACACATTCGCCAACCCCTTCGACACGCCCGCCGAGTTCTACAACAGTTTCACGCCAGCCTACTACGTCGACTACCTACGCATGATGGCGAGCGAGGCGCGCAAAGCGGACGGCAAGCTGAGTAAGGAGAAGGCGTTGGAGGTTATGGCGCAGTTTGCTACGTTTCCGCCTGAGGTGAATGGGTGCTGGATTTGACGAAGTATAGTAAAAGTAACGGTACCTCCATAATGCTTGCTGTCTGTAATTATCCAATGTTTATTTATTAGGTGTAAGGTTCATGGAGGCGTGGCGTTAGGCTATTCCACTCGTCCATCTAGTTACTCTGTATTAATCCAGAAGGGGAAAAGAGAAAAAACGCATCTTTCATCTTGGCTTCCCTTGCAATTTTCTTTGGTGCTTTGTAAAATCAGCCTACTCTTAAACGTGCATTACTCTTATGCCACGAAAACCACTCTCTCAAGTACCTACTTGCATCTCATTAATGACCCATCCGCGCTATGGATCTGAACAAGGGAAAAAGTCTACAGCAATAGCAATTATAACATCAAGAAACTCATTATTGTGTTGCCTCAACATTGCCCAATGAAACAACCAAGAAGATCATACGCAAAGACACGTTGGACTGAAAGCACAACGAAAGCAGCAGACATAATAAAGTCATTAAAATATTAATATCTCAATAAGTAGCGCCTATATGTATTCATTTCCCACCTGTTCTAGCTAAGGCATCCTGGGTATTTAAACTCATCATCACTCTCCTCAAAATCAAAATATAAACCACTTATACAGCAGGTTTCTCCCCGCTACTGCTAACAGTTCTCTTTCCCCACCCTCCCCAAAAGCCCCCAGTTGTTGCGTTTGTGCTTGCAGGCGCAGCCTCCACCTTTGGCGTCGGCTTATTCATATACCCACCTAAACTCGTCACACTGCGATCAACACTCGCGACGCTAGGACTAGGCCGATGAACCGCAATGCCCGGAGAATCGCCGCTTCCCATACCGAGCAGTTTTTTCAAACTCTCTAGCTTAGCTTTGTATTCCTCCGCCTCCTGCCTCGCGATAGCTTCCGCAGTCTTGGCTTGTACAAGCTCAAGAATAATGATATCAACATCAACATCCGGCTTCACTGGAGCGGTCTCGACCGGTATGTTTTGGGCGAGGCTGTGGTTCTCAATTTCTTTAGCAATGACAGCGGGGTTGTTGACAAGACTAGAGGTACGCTTGTTGAAGGTTTGGGTTTTCACGGAGCTGGTACGGCCAAGTTTGAGTTGGCGAAGACCTCCTCCATTAGAAGCACTCTGTGGCCACTCGCTCTCGGCTTCCTTGCTGCCGTCTGGAGTTGACGAAATGACGCTTTGTCTAGCACGAATACTATGTATCTGTTTTTCTAGCCGCTGCTTCTCTGAATGAGCATTCCGGATATGATGGTGGCTCTCCCTAAGTTGGTCCTGGAGGTTAGAAACCTCCTGGTGTTGTTCCGACAAGCGCCTGCTGAGGTCCTGTGTTTTAGAGACCTCAATAATGAGCTGCTCCTTTGATCGCACCAGCTCTTCCCGGAGTTGTGATTTAGACTGCATCATTGACGATCGGCGGTTGTTCACTGGTGCTGAAAACCGCTCCTCCACAACATCAAGCAAAGCTGACAGGTCGTTACCGTACAGTTGGTCAGCTAAATATTCGGGGTCTTCTGAAGCGTCTTCTGCGGAGGTTTCATCGGGGTTTGGCGACTCGGTAGGGAGAGTATCGTCGTCTTCGTCATCCAAGGCCACGTTCTCAATTTCGACCTCAACCTCAACAGGCTTGACTGTCTCGAGACTTTCGCCACTATCAGAGGTATTCACAGTCTCGCAGCTTGTCTTCTTCCTCAATCCATCAAGCAGCGATTTGACTGCTTGTCGATCCTCCTCGCGCTCCTCGCGTTCTCGTTGTAGCTGATTAGCAAGAATCGAGTGATCTCTCTGCATCTCACTAAGAGCGGTTAACAGATCCTCAATCTGCCCATGCAAATCTTTTTCCTTGTTCTGTTTTGAAGCATTTATCAGCACAGATTGCGTTTTGATTGAGGAGCTATCAGCGTTTGATGAATCGCGAGAAATCGAGGTAGCGTCGGTTGAAGCGCTCATCATACTATCTGACGCACCACCTTCCATCGAATTCAATGTAGATGCAAGGCTTTGTTTTGAAGGTGACCGCCGTAAAAAGCTTCTCGGCCGTGATGGTGCCGCAAGTCCCGGACTCAAATTGGCAGACTTTGTCGATGAATTTGAGCCAGCCCATAATCGTCCCAAGAAGCGTGCTGCTGCCGTGCCAATGTTGTCTGTCGGAATTGTAGTGTCGACTGTGCCAGCTTTGAAACTTTGCTCCAACGCTTGAAGGCTATCGTGTGTGACTACACCCGTTAAGCTGACAAAGTCATTCACAAACTCGTCCGCGTTGTAGTGATATACGTCCCATAACCCTCTTGAAAGCAATAGTTGCATGACATCTTCAAATTCACTACAAGCCAGTATTTTCTGTTCGTTTTTCCGCATCAACGAAAGAGCTACCCTCATTATTGTTTCTGAAGCGCCTTCTGCGAAGATCACATCGTATATCCGAAATAGCATTGGTAGTGGGCAGGTAACGGCGAAAAAGGAAAGGAACCATTGTGAAACATATCCGGGCTCGATTTGAAGTTCAGCCAAATGCGCAGAGAGGGTCGGGAGATGTTGCTTCAGGAGCTCGCTGAATTGGTGGATTCGAACATGAAGCCCAGACAGATCAGGGAGGAAGCAGTTTCGTAGATCATAATGTTCCATCAATCTGTGAGATATTAGAACAGGAATGTCAGTCTATCAAGCGGGGAAGCGTACCGGACAAGAACACAGAAGGCTTGTTTGTCGCCCATATGCATAAGCAATGGGCCAACAAGAAAGCCCAGTCCCTGGCAGTACCCGATTTTGTGATCGTATAGACTGAAGCATTTCAGCACCCGCCCGAGCATTTGCTGTCCATCTCCTTCTGGATCGCGGAACATCTCAACACCTGGGAAGCTTCGGCCTAGATCCTTCCCAATTATCCCCTCGTATGGACTCGATTCCCCGCAGAGCCGGTCGAATTGATCCTCTAGCAACCTATCTCTTGCACCAGACATACTCTGCCAAACCACACCCCTCAATGGTGGCGGAACACCACTTCTTATTTTCTTCGATAACAATGTGGGCAGGTATTGTGCCGTTCTGGTGTAATCTTGCACAAGCGCTGCGTAGAATTCGAGATCGGTCATAGGAGGGGCAGCAACCATCGAGTACCTCAGCGCGGGAGGAGTTGGGCCGTTCACCAGTCTTTTCAGGTGTTGCATAGATGGGGGTCTCGACTGCCTTCTTCCCAGTGTCTCCGTCACTTTGACCTTCGCAATGCCGGATTTCGGATTCGTTGCAAGCATGTTATTTTCCTGTTCTAGTCTGGCCAGTAATAGGGCAGTAGACTGAGGGGTTAGCATAGAGATCAGCATGCCTCAATTTCGGGGGCGTACATCGTCTGAAGACTCATTTCGAGGCTCATTTTCTTCTGTCTTCTCCAGCTCTTCCCAATTGACTTCTTCTGGTTCTGAAGCCTCTGTGCTGTCACTTCCCCGTCTTGATTGCCCTTCGGAGTCTGGTTCTATTGGGCTCTCGACTTCGTTACCATTGGGATCCATCATGGTGATCCTGGGCGATTCTTCTTTTTCCTCCTGTTCTTCCTGCACATCGTCCAGCGTTATATCGGGCGTCTGCACGCTCGTTGTATCCTCTTCGATCTCGGTGTCTTCTTCTCTGATGGCAGATTCTAGCTTTGTGGTTTCTTGTAGGTTGGTATCAACGGTCAAAGCCGGACATGGTGCTGGTTCGGATAGACGGACTGTGACCATTGAATCGTGGGCCAATGTCTCATTGTTCTTTTCGATTGGAGAGACTGGAGAGATTGGAGACACCCCAGCTCCATCGTAGTGTTGTTCGGACTCCATAATGCAAGAGCGGCCGTGAATTAAGATTTATAAAGCCAATTGTAGATGTAGGAATGAATTCCTTTCCGCAGTTCCTTCCCTTATCACCGCACACAAAACGACCTCCAAACTCGAGCCTCCTGACGATCGAGAGGCAATTGTGTCGAATTCCTTCGTTGGAAGTAAATATTCGCGTTTCACAAAGGAGTGGAATGGCTGCCAATAACTGGCTGCCAATAACAGCTCTGCGGTTGGTCCGGATTGTTTCGCTGTTTCAACTTCGACTCAGGTATAAATAAATGAGGGGATAAAAACACGGCAGCACAGGGGAGTATTATATGTTACAGTCCTTCCCAGGCAGAGACATTAAAGAGCGGATGTCCTCGTAAAAGAACGACGGCGATGAAGGATTGAGGATGCTGCGGCGGTGAGGTTGCATGGCAATGTCAGGTACTTGTATGGGCGTTGGGATGGGGAGGAATCCCAGATGGTCATTCAGGGGTGCAGCAGCGGCAGGCGGGTCTAGCTCGCGGCGGCTCATTGGTTGGTCACGACGCGGGAAACCACTACATCTCTAGAAAAGGGGCTGATCAACAATCTGTAATCTTGTCTTCTCGATACGGCCAAATCTTCAATGCCGTAGATTATTGATATACAACTCTCCCCTCACATTACCTCATATCTACCGATAGGTAAATCATCACTTCGTTATACGCCTAGCCATATTATGCCACAGATGGTCAAAAGGTGGTAAAATCATACCTGTTAGAACTTGGAGGCGTCAGATGCGTGATTTAGACTTTTCTCCTGCTATTCCAGGAGCCGTTTCTACAACTTTTGACCAATCCAATCCAGATATCATTGACTATCTGCATAAAGCCAAATTACCTTCCCTGCCCCTGCCCCACGTTTATCAATCAATACTGGGGAAGATATCAAGCTCAAGCTCAAGCTCAAGCATGCTCCGTGCTATCTCGATGAGATTCTCACTTCTTAATTCTTCTATCCAGCAACTTACATTCATATTTCTTTCTATCATGCTGGAGAATTTTCTCAACACGGTTTATCCATCGTTGTGTTCTTGTTTTTAGCTGCTCTCGATTAGTGCAAGTGTTTCAAGGGAGAAGCAAGTGAGCCGCGGCTGTTCTTGGCACTCAACTAGCAAGAGCCGGTGTTACCCCTTTTCTTACTTCACATGACCTGGTGTTAATGCCTCTTCAAATTTCAGGCCATTCTATTGTTGTTTGCATCGCCGTATTAGTTGTTAATAGTACACACGTTACTTAATATACTTTCACTGCTTGAAAGAATAACTAGCAGTTTCTCAAGACATGTGACAACCCCTATTCCTATTCCTATTCCATACATACAATATATAGACCGTTGATTCGTTCTCATCGAGGTCCTTCTTGACTCTATTGACCTTACAGGTTTCATTCAACCTTACGCTACATCCTACTCCTCACCTCTAGGCATTCTCATCCTCACCCTGCACAAAAGGTCACCCTCCAACTCTCCATCCCCGATCAAGCAGGATAGCCGGTATTTTGTCCGCATGCCCGGACATTTGCGCGTTGAATGGTTGCCCAAATGCTACATCGCTGAGAACGTCTAGAACGAAACAGGATATGAGGTTTTTCATGTCAAAGATTTCGCCAGTCTTTGCGTAGCATTTGATATGGTTGATGAGAATTCCCGTTTGACCGTCAATAATGGGTTGCATTTCTTCAATCGAAGCTTGTGAGAACCTATGACTAACTTGATGTCGGCGTCCAGAATGCAGCTTCTGAAATTAACAGTCAGCTAGCTTGAACCTTACAAAAAGGACATTATGAATTTACCGCTTCATCCCTCGTCCCAAACAGATTGGGATTAACATTCGTAAACCCATCAAAGAACTCCGTCTTGCCCATAACTTTGCCCGCTTTGTAAATAGCCGGGATAGCCTCCGCGTTTCAAAAATGCAAGTCATTAAGCCCAATACGTATCACGGGCCCGTGCTGTTCGTGTAGGATGTGTTTGTATACATAATACGTTTTCCACATGTTGGTCAGTGATGCGAGAAGGGGCCCCGGATACTTGGCTAGGGGATGGGGAAAGCGTTGGTAGACTATATACAAATATGAAAGTTCTTATGATTAGGCAATCCTCGTAGATCTACATAAAGTGCTAGTTAGCTGATAGGCTAAACCTATATGACTAATGTCTTTATATGAAATCCATAGCTTGATGTGTTCGCGGCCGCCTTTGAATATAGAGAATCCGCGATTCACGTCTAGATTTCATTCTATCCAGAGGTGAATCACCTCAGATGATTCGTAAATCTTAGTCCAGATTCATATATAACCCAGGAACCCATGATTCTATCAATTCTCACTTGATATTACAGATAATCTATGTGATTCATGAATCCTGAGAATTCATAAGCAACCCAGAACAGATGTTACCCCTATCTCGCTTAACTCCCCCTTGAGCCCATTCCCCTACCGCCAACCCTTTGAATCGAAAAAGTGTATTCACCTTAACCTGATTCACCACGTTGGAGCATTCGATCCACATTGATCACAAAGAACAATCCATAATGCTCGCTTCACCCCCCTCCCCCTCCCCCCCCAACAGGCAAAACCAGCTCCAACGGCAACCGACTCACTCACCTGCCTGCCATGCTCCCAACAACCTACAAGGCACAAGCAAACAAACCTCATCAAGATGCCAGCCTGGTACTGCTGTAAATGTTTCCAACTAGCCCGATACAAAGAAGCAAGTTCTCCTTCCATTCCATTCTATCCCCCCACGTCTCCACAATCACCACTAATTCACTTTGGCCAGGTTCTTTTCCCGCCAAACAAACCACCTAACCCCTCCACGGAACGGCCGCTTTGTTTCTACAAGAAATGCACGCACCTCTTCTGCCAGGATTGCATGGTCAGGAGTATCGAAAACGATGCTGCAGAGGTGGATCCTGATGCGTGAGTCGTCTTTGCTTTTACCCCGGGATGGGCGCAAGTGGGGCTGGGCTGATAAGTATGTATGGTAGGACGGAGAGCGAGGAGGATTCTAGCATCAATGCGTGAGTGCATCTCTTACTTCTGGGGGTGCATGGATGGCTGAGTTGTAATAGGCATGTGACTGGAGAAGAAGTCGGGGATACCGAGGAGGAAGATTATATGGAGGGTGAAGAGGGCTCGAGTAGCGGTGATCTGCAAACGGCGGATGAGGAGAGTAGCGTTACGGAAACGGATGTGGAGGAAATCGAGGATTACGAAAGCGCATGTGAGGAAGCGCAAGAACGGGAGGAAGAGGAAGAGGAAGAGTGGGAGAGGTCAAGGAAGAAGCAAAGGCAGAGGCAGAAGCGGATGGTGTGACGTAAGGGTACTACTACGTTGAGAGGAAATAGGCTGCAGGAGATAGAAGGACAGGTGGTGATCCCAATGCAAGAGTCTGACTGAAGTCATCGTTCTTCACATAAGGAGGATCTATCCGCCTTAATATTTTGAAGCATATATGAGGGCCTGAACCAACATTCAGCTCTGTTAGCCTCAATTTCTGGTTCAAAGTTGTCACTCCTTCGTGAGTTCTTTCTTCCGGATTTATTACTTTTCAAACACATTCGACATTACATCATGGCAAGCAGGACAAAATTGCTTTAATGAGTCTGAACAAGGGGATGAAAGTCAACCTTTTCTGAGTCAGGAAGGACAGATATAACAAAGGCCTCATCAGATGAATTTCCTAAAGTCTCTACTATTTTCATTAAGGGTTGCCAAACCGAGACATAAGTTCAGGTATGGTATTGACTCACCGATTCAAACAAGTTACAACAATGCACATGCTGCAGATATATAGGGATAACAGAATAACAGAATAACAAGTTATCAAGTATCGCCGAGGTATTCCATACCTTAACAGCATTCGCTAGGTAAAGGGTTAGAAATGGATCAAGGCGTCTCGAGCTAGTAAAATTCAAAGGGAATCATCTCGTAGTAGATCTTTCTCGACCGCACGGCCGGTACACTTGGGAATGAATAGAAGCATGGCAACAACGATTCTGGAGGTCGATCTAGTGTAAAGACGGTACCCCCTCGCTTCACAATGGCGAATCATACAGACACGTAATAGTTATACAGATCGTATCATATTTCATCCCATGCAGGGACGGTACTGCGGTATTGTAATGAAAGTTACGCATCACGATGAAATGCAATAGCCTCGGAAAGTAGTATACATACAACATACAACCATAAAAGTGACCGCAAGCAAAAAAGCAGACCTGTTATCCGAAAACCATGCTGACTGCCCGCAAACTACTCCGCATATCCATTCCTCCAACGCCCGAAAATGTTCCTTTGCTTAATCACTATCATCAAAGTCGTCTTCGCTCTGCTCGTCCTCAACCAGGGCAGACTCATCCAAATCGTCAACATCCATGTCATCATCGTCCGAGTCGATATTATAGACAGGCTGCTTAGAGGCCTTTGCGGTTGCAACAACGGCAGCGGCTCGTGCAGGGCGACCACGTCCAGGAGCAGCGGCAGGCTTTACCGGCTCCTCATCCATATCGACATCCTCATCCTCGTCCTCATCATCACTAATCACCTTCCTCTTTGGCGCCGGCTTCTTGGTGGGCTTGGACACGGCGGCCTTAGAAGTGGCAGGCTTAGCTTTGGCCTTGGGTGGTGGCGACATTTCATCCTCGTCATCACTAATGACAGTCATCTTCGCTCTGCTCTGCTTTGGCGGCGGCGAGTCTCCCATCAATATTTCTGAATCCTCATCATCGTCGCTGAAGACATCCTTCGAAGTGAGCTTGAGCTTGCTCTGCTTCGCAGCGTATGCTTTGGCAGCCGGTGAGAGTGCTTTCGGCTCGGTAGGCTTCTCAACTGGAGCAGCTTTAGCCCTAGGCTTTGGGGCTCGCTTTGCAGGACCCTTTGCGGCAGGGGCTGCTGCTTTGGCAGGAACCTTTTTGGCGATTGGCACGAGGTCTTCTTCATCTTCATCTGACAAGAAGCTGTCTAGGTTATCCTTCGGCGCTGGAGGTGCTTTGTGAGGAGACGATTTAGCCAGCATCTCGTAGTTTGTCTCGTCGCCATCAGAGAAATCAAACGTCTTGCTGGCCTTGGGCTTGACTTTAGGTAGATCATTGCTTACGCTCGTAGCTCTGCCGTGACTACTTCCAGGACGTGACATGGCGAAGAGAGAAACTCGTCCATTTGCATTGTCCAGAGGGGCCCCACCACCAATACCCTTGACCATAGCACCAACATCACCCAGCAGCTTGTCATCATCACTTTCAGACTCGTCATCCTCAATGATCCACTGCTTTGGAGCAGCTGCAGCAGCGCGTTTAGTCCGGCCATTTGATGGTCCGGGCTGCTCGCTGGGCGCCTTAGATGCTTCTTTCGCGGGTTTGGTGGCTTGCAAAGCATCAAAATCACCGTCTGACATTCCAGAACCAGCATCCTCATCTTCCTCTACACCATCAGAGCCAAGCCCACCTTTGGCTGTGGGTTTTGCCTTCTTCTCAAACATGCTGAGGAATCGTTGATGTGGCTTTTGCTCGACTTTGACGACCTTGGGAGGACCCGAGGCTTTGGTAGGTTTGGGATTGTAGTCATCATCTTTCTTAGCCTTACCCTTCGCACCCTTACCCGCTCCGATCTTTCGTGATGCTCGGCGGTTGGTGTTGCGAATGGACTTTTGGTAATCATCCTCCTCCTTCAACTGCACCTCCCATTCTTCGACGAAAGCATCAAGATCCTCGCACCACAGGTCCTTTTCACTTCGCCTTGCAAGAATGTCATGCTCTTCCTTTTTGCCGACCATCTGGGCCTTCAACTTATCAACGCGTTCTTGTGTCAGAGACCAAATGGGTAACTGCATATTGTCAGCAAGGCTTCACCTAGGTAAATGGAATTTTACTCACTCCGAGCAAATAATCAAAATCTCTGGCTCCTGAATCTTCGTCGGCAGCCATTTCATCGTCATTTTCGATGACATCGTCGGTCTCGCCAGCTTTCTGAGCATCCTTGACCTTAGGGAAAGCTTCGTATTCGCGATGTCTCAACTCTGCGACAAGGACTGGCTTCTTCTTCTTTGATACAACGAGTTTATTCTCAATGATCTCCGTAACAAATCTAGCCTGGTTTCGAAGTTTCCGATACTCGTTATCCATTTTTTCCAACCAATATGCCTGATAAGGGTTAGTAGAAGTCTTGAACAGTGACATGAAGACACACCTTTCGCTTCGTGTACATTGACATCCGGTAAACATAGTACTCATCCATGATATCTTCAACCTTCTCGTACTTTCGGATTTGACCTCGGGTATCGAAGGCAACCAGGTTGGAAGTTGCTACCGTCTTATTGAGCTTGAATCTTTCAGCAAGCCCATCAGACAAGGCACCCTTCATATTTTTTTCATCTAATTGGATTACAAAGTGAACGCTCTTGTGATCATTGTACTCCTTGTAATCCTTGATGAAAGACGGGACCTTCTCTCCCTTGATGATATCTTCCAGTTTGCCCTTGAAGTCGTCGGTCCATGTACGAATGGGCAACTCGGTGATCTCAACCTCGTTGTTTCCAGCCTCCCTCACCACACCATTAAAGGCGTAGCGGTTCGGCCCAGCTTCTTCGGGTATGCCTTTCCAGCCTCGGAACCATGGCACCATTGTCTCGAATGGCTTTTCCTCTCCATCATTATCAAGACGGCCCATGCGACGCTTCAAGTTCTTTACAACATCAAGGGGATGATAATTGGGAATAGTGGTACTCCAGCCAGTTCCAATACCGTCGGCACCGTTGATCAAAACCATAGGCACAACAGGAGCGTACATAGTGGGTTCGATTTTCTTTCCGTCATCGATATTGTGTTCGTAAAGTGGCTCATCAAGCGCAGAGAAGACTCGTCTGGCGAATGGCGATAGTCGCGTGAAGATGTAACGGGGGCTTGCAGAATCAGCACCGCCTGCCAGTCGGCTACCAAAATTTCCACTAGGCTCAAGGCAATTGATGTTGTTGGATCCAACAAAGTTCTGGGCGAGACCAACAATAGTCATATGCATAGATGCTTCACCGTGGTGATAAGCAGTGTTTTCGGAAACGTAGCCTCCCAATTCAACGACCTTCATATCTCGAACCAAATTACGTTTAAAGCATGCAAACATGACCTTCCGCTGTCCAGGTTTAAAGCCATCAATGACCGAAGGAATTGATCGAAGATTATCAGCCATGCTGAAGAGAATCAGCTCCTTGTTCACGAAATTATCGTAGGTCAAAGTCTTGGTTGAATGATCGAGATAAGTTCCAGGAAGGAAGTTTCCAAGCCAAATCTTACGCGCATCAGCCTTCTTTTTGGAAAAAGCAAGGTCAATCAACTCTTCCTCTTCCGGCTTTATTACTTCGAATTCTCTCAAATGTTGGTCAAGGTTAGAGAAGTAGACCTGGGCATCCTCGGGCAAACTGGTACCCAGACCCTTGTAGTACTTGTGTCTCCAACCTCTGTCATTCTCATGTCTGTCTTTCCAACTCTCATATTCGGGCATGGTAAAGAATGACTTGGAATGGATGGGTTTCTTGGGATTTGGGCCCTTCCAGACTTTGACAATAGGCGTGATAAACTCCTGGAAGAAGTCAGGCAGCTTGAGCAAGCTGGGAAACTGAACCTGAAGGAAGTTGATCAGAAGACCCTTGATGTGACTACCGTCGTGATCTTGATCGGCCATGATCATTAGGTGTCCATATCGTAGGCCGGTGGTATCCTTATAGACTTGCTTGTGCTTCAAGCCGAGAAATTGTTTGATGTTTTGGATTTCGGCATTCTTCGAGATCTGGTCAACACCTGCATCTCGGACATTGAGAAGCTTTCCTCGCAGAGGGAACACTCCGATGCGGTCAGGATCCAAAATCGCCCTACCAGCAACAGCAAGACCTTTGGCTGAATCTCCTTCGGTAAGAATCAACGTGCATTCATGACCACGTCTTGTGCCAGCAAGATTTGCGTCGACAAGCTTAGCATTGCTCATGCGTGAACGCTTGTTGCCATCGCTCTTGGCCAGTTGCTGGTCAGCCCTTGCAGCCTGGAAGTTCAAGATATTTTGAACGGCATCCGTTTGCCCAATTTTCTTTAGGAACCCGTCTGTTAGAAGACACGTGCTGCCAAACTGCTTGGGTCTAGTTGTGAGTGCCTCCTTTGTTTGTGATGTAAAGGCAGGATTCACAATTAGGGCGTTAACGAAGAGAAAGATATGGTTGCGAATTTGGTTGGTTTTCAACTGGGCTCCTTTCGAGTTCTTCTTCTTGACGACATCTAGAAGCTTTTCACAAATTTGATCGGCAATGTAGTTGACATGGGTACCACCCGAAGTGGTCGAGATCGAGTTAACGAATGAGACTTGGTTGAAGGATCCATTAGATACGGCAAAGCCGACTTCCCAAGACGCATGGGCTTTAGGGTCTTCAATTATGACAGACTGTATGGCAGGCTGAACACCTTCTTCGATTCCACGTTCCCTGCCGATAGCTTTTGCATACATCTCACAGTATTTGGCGAAATTTAGCTTCAACACACTGCCGTTAAGGGAAACTTTGACGCCCTTTACTGTGCCTGCCAAGTCGTAAACTCGGCGCTTCACCAAGGCCTCAAAGTCATCATCGATACCGCTCATCTTAAACCTCGCATAATCAGGCGTGAAGGTAACGCGAGTGAAATCCGAGGACTTGCTTGCCGAGATCTTGGCTTTGCCTATCTTGCTCATGTTGTCGGTCCAGATTTGTTTATATCTCTTGCCTCTCTTGGAATCCTGGGTTTCAAGAGTAAATTCTGTACTGAAAACATTACAAAGCTTGGCTCCGTACCCGTTTCGACCACCAGTGGTCTTGGCCTCTTCATCATTGTAGTTTGATCCAGTCAGCAGGTGGCCGAAAATCATCTCCGGAATATAAATCTTCTCTTTCTGTGTTTTGCATTAGCAAGTGTACAAAGCAAAGATTCTTAGATTGTCTCACCTGATGAATTTCAATGGGAATACCAGCCCCGTCGTTCTCGACGCTGATCTCGCCCTTCTCACGATCAACAACCACTTTAATGGACTTCATGCTAGAGTCATTTTGTTTGTTATCGGCAGCATTGACCAAAATTTCGTCAAAGATCTTATACAATCCAGGAACGAAGCTAACTTTACGATCCTCCATCTGTGAAGTCTCGGAGTTGAAAACCCACATCTGTTGTTCGGTACGCTCGACCGATCCAATGTATGTATCCGGACGCTTGATAATGTGCTCAAGCTGGGTGAGTTTCTGATACTTGTCCGTAACCGATTTATCCTTGGCGGAAGGTTTAGAGTCGGCTGGTCCGTCCATGTTCATACTCTCGTTGGCAATGTCTTGCAGAGGTTTACTATTTTTTTTTCTTTGTAGCAGGGGCCTTCTTTTGCTTCTTCGCGCTTGGTGGAGTATTGGAGAGCATGGATTCCTCGTCGAAAGGGTCGGCAGCAGATGGGGAACCATCTTCGTCGTCGTCGCTGTCGGGCTTGGGACGCTTCTTTGGTGCGGTTTTGGCCATCTTTAAGGTAGTCTGAACCGTCTTTTTCGGGACAGCCTTGGAGGCTTTTGGGGCCTTCGGGGCAGCAGCTTTCTTGGGTGCAGCCTTGGCCTTGGCCTTCTGTAGAGATCGAGGATTAGCGCCTGACGGATTATTGCATGAAAGTGAGGAGGACAGGTACGGAGAGGAAAGTACGGAGAGTCGCCAGGAACCAGGTTACTCACAGGAGCTGCAACAGGTGAGAAGCCGTCAGAATCACTATAGTCATCCATGACCGAGTCCTCTATTATGGAGTCATCCATGTTTTACTGCGTGGGCTCGACGCGCTCGGCTTCAGACAGGACAGAAATAGGGGAGTGAGGCCAATTGACCAGGCGGTGCGACCGAGCTGGTTCTCGCTAATTAGGAGCTCATAAAAGAATGACTGAAAGAGAGACTCGTCGTCGCACAATGATTGTTGTTTTCGAGGGTAGTGGGTTGTCAAAGTAGGTAACGGGAGACGGGCCAAACCTGTTGTTTGATGGTGTTGTTTACCTGTGAAGTTTGACGCGTTACAACGGCGCTAACCTGTTTCGGAAGCATTATGTGAGGGGTGACTTCCCTAAGCGAATGCTTTCTACCATACGGTAAATTGAGGCTCAATCTCTGTATAAATTCACTTCACTCCGAGCATTAGACCCCGACATATCAGGTACCAGCCCGTAAACACATCCATTTCCGATTCTCCAATACTCTACCAAAATGAGAAGGTGACTGATCGCACTTCTGCCGGTATATTCCTTCGTAGAACTCCTGTGGAACTCCTCGAACGAATTCGCCATGATGGATGTTTCCGACGTAGAGCATGCACAAACCCGTGTCCACAACTCCCGGAGCGTCATACAATCTCTATCCCTATGGTGGAGGGCTGTAAGGACCCAAAATATCTTTGTACATGTACTCCACGCGTTCAAGTGATCTGAAACTTCAACGGCTGTCAGAAGCATGTCCGGAACGAAGATGAAGTCACCTTTTCTGTGCGACTGATTGCTCGATCTGGACGTACCTGCAGGACTCTCTCCCTATGAGGCGTATCTGTCCCTGTCATTTGTTTTGATCGTTTGTTCTGGGCGTCTTGTTATTAAGCTGTATCCTGCGTTTTCCATACTTAAAAACTCAAGATAATATGTCATTGTTGGCAGGAGTCTGCCATAATTCTGCGAAGCGTATCGGACAAGGAAGTTCCTGCACCCCTTTCACCCCACGAAGATGTCTTCGAGTACCGGTATCAGGAGATTTACGAGCATTATCCACCTTCTAACCAATCGAACCACCGCGATACATTGCCTACTTCCTCCGTTTGTCGATGTGCATAGGCGACAACGTGGTTGGCCTAAATCGCATGAGTCGCCGCATGGACTTTATGGGTGCGTGCAGGTTCAGCCCGATTACGTTGTACATGTTGACCTTGTTCTAGACTGCGACTCGAGGTCGAGCATACAATGCAATCTATTCTCTAAGAGTTGGTTATTTTGCACTGGATGATTGCGTCCTAGTTCCGCTCTACTCTCGTTTCTAGCTTTCTCGATCACTTCGGGATATTTGAGCGGTGTTGAACTATGCCAGTGGTCAAAGTCCCGAATCCTAACTGCCGTTCTTTCATATGCCAGGCGCTACCAAGACCAGCTTACTTCGTCACCTCTGCAAGCCGCTGCTAATTGGCAAACGTTCCAGACATCCAGACGACAGAATGAAGACTCCCCAACCAAATATCCCGCCATGCGCGTGCATGCATGATTGTCTTGGGGGCTTACTCTAATTTTCAAGTGACAGCTGCAGCCCCCACATTAGTTGCGGGCACGAAGATCACCTAACTCCCTTTCTCGAAGGGCCGTAGAAGTTCTTTCAAGAGCAGGAGGAGCAGTGTGTGATGGGCACGGATAGGAGCATAGCTCCCACGACAGGGATACATATGAGATCTTTTCCAGGCCTCAGATCTTCTAAGACAGAACACATCAGACGTGATGAGATCAATATAACGCCCTCGTCTCACATTATTATTGAAAACCAAGTCGGCGTTGGAGGAATGCTGTCCACGTGCATCGAGTCAAGCAAGTTGAGCCTGAACTTTCGTCCTAATTGCTGAGAATTCTTTGTCCGATTTCATGAAATGCTAGTCGGCGATGTTAGCGCACCCGCAAGAACTGCAGCCAGCCGGCCCAAGACTCCTGGCCAGCAGGTGTGCCCAGCTATACTCCTACCCATTTCCAAACAAGCTATGTTCCCTATCGGGAAGTGACACCAGAGCTGTTGGTGTCAAACTCTCATCTTGAGTGTGCAAAGACAACCCTTTTGCTGTCATGCAGCCGGTTGCTATCTCTTTCGTTCGGCAATTCCGCTCCCATGAGGTTTAGTGAAACACGGTCTGGTGAAGCACCCTCCCTCGATAGCTGCTCTAGTATGTGTATGCGGGTTGCTTTGTAGGTATGTTGGCTCCATGGCGACGGGCACGGGAGCGTAGAATCTATACAGAAGCACTTTAAAGTCGTTTAAACCACAATTCCATCATATCCGAATTTATTCTATTATAGCCCATTCAAATTTTTATTCCGCTCAAGAAAAACAGTTAAGGGCAAATATTATCTCGGACCGATCGGAGAGCCAAAGACTCACAGTACGTTTGACCCGGCCATAGCAACAGGACGGTGTGAGCTCATCCTCGATTCTTACGAATAGGCGGTGGAGACGTGCAAACGGACGACATCTACCTGGCCGGTTCCTAGACAGCGCCAACAAAGAGACCTTCTGCACCGAGATCGCTGGACAGTAACCAAACATATTACTGGGACGGGATTTTGACTGCAGGAACCTGCACCACTAGTAGGAATCGAAGAAAGACTGCTGCTCAAGCTCATTATTTCCCCAATTGCTCATAAGAGTCCACTAACTATTTGTTGCTGGTTCTCTGTTTGCCATTTCCAAAACACTAGTTATCTGGATCTCCTGTTCCAGTGCCTTTTCCGCTTGAGTTGCTTTACGCTGATAAGAATTTTGTTCGTCACCGAAGAGCGCAGTTTCAACTTGCAGAATTAGAGACCCAGAACCACCAGCCACTCCAAAAGCTCACCGCTATGTTCTCCGTGGCATCTCTCCTCAATCCTGTCAAGTCAGAACCGCGAGGTATACGATTGCCATCAAGTCCCTCGGTGTCGCTCTGTACTTCGTCTTCGACTCATGGAAGCCCTCAGTTGTCGACTCAGCCTTTAGTTAAGAAGCAGAAGATGACTAAGGACGGTGCCATTTTTGCCAAGGGCAAGATTAAGGGTGAGGTAAGGTACCCGCCGTTTGAAAATCTCGACGAGGAAGCGATGAGCGAAGTCCAGAAGTTCCAAGTCTTCCCGCTCGGGGAGATCCAGGAGTACTGCCGTCACATTCCTTATAACAGCGAGAAGAAGAGCTTTCTTGACAAGACTGGACGGGAAAGTTTTGAAGGTAAGATGACCCTGTATTTCGATAAAGCTGATGATCCTTACTAATTCTGATTGCAGTATTCCAGTACACATTCAAAGTCCCCGGAGACGACAAGAATTATACAGTATTTTGGGACTACAACATTGGGCTCGTTCGAATTACACCCTTCTTCAAATGCTGCAAATATTCCAAGGTAAAAGAGCCTTCACATCGAAATTTGAAGACTGAACTGACATTGTTCAGACGACACCTGCAAAAATGCTCAACATGAACCCTGGCCTGAAGGAGATCACTCACAGCATTACTGGCGGAGCATTGGCAGCACAAGGTACGAAACACAAATGTTTACAAAAGATCGCTCTATAACACAAACTGTCAGGTTACTGGATGCCATATTCTTGCGCCCTCGCCGTTTGTACGACCTTTTGCGCACACATAGCGGGCGCGTTGATCCCCATTTTCGGCCCAACATTTCCCTCACTCTGCGTCCCACCAGAAGCCCCCGAACACGGCCGCTGGACTATCGACCCAGCCATCGTCGTCGAAGCCACTACCGAAGCCGAGAACTACCGCACACAATACAGCAGCTTCTCCACTCCAAAGTCTGCCCACGAGAGCTACTCCCCCCAGCAACGTATCTCTGAGATGCGCACCACGCCACCAAATGGACTAAGTCGCCGTCTTCATCTCAAGAGGACTTTTGGATGCGATAGTCCGTATGGCACGCCGACTGATACGGATTTGGAGACGAATGGTGGGGGTAGTGAAACGAGCAGTGGGGATGGGTATTTCTGCTCGCCTATTACACCGGTTAGTGCTGGCAGCCTTAACCTGAACCAGCAGCACAATTGGCAGCCGCACAACGTGATCTCGCACAGCGCCAATTCATCAATGAATGTCTCGCCTCACCATAAGCTCGCACCAGGCCTCAATCCGATTCTCAGTGCCATTCCCCGCTCTGCGGACGTCCCGATGGGTGGTATGTGGCCGACTATTAAGCGACGAGTTGATGAAGTCGATGCAGATGATGAATATGATGGTGCAGAGAGCGCGAGTGTCACAGATGACAAAGTAAGTGACAATGGGAAGGGCAGTGATAAGGAGATGGAGGACGTGATTATTGGAGGCGCGGATAAGAAGGCAGCTTGGCTCTTGATGAAACTTAGTGTCCAGGATGGAGAGTGCAGTGCCGAAGCTTCTCGAGAGACATATGAGCTGGACGGCCCAAGGATCAAGAGAAGGCGCGCTACCTCCATGTAATGCGTATCTCTAGCATATCATGGATTGAAGGGACGGAATACATTTCAGGCGCTTGATGAACGGAAAAGGAAAATGGAAAAGGCGTGAGACGGATCGATGTTCAGCCCGGGGATTAGATTACGCGCATAGGTTCACATGTTGGCATTTCTGGTTTGGAGTTCTATGGGAGGATGATTTTGTTTTGATGTTCTTGTCTATACTGGCGCGCATCCATGTATTCATAGGTCCTCGCAATGCATTCAACGATGGCTATTTCCAACAACTCTCATTTTGCTCAAAGTGAACCCCGGCTTGCTCACAGGACAGAAGCTTCTCTTCGATAAGGTTGTGCCACCCAAGGCGCTCTTGCTGCTGCTACCCATACTGATTGCCGCTTCGCATCATCACTGAATTGGTTGCCCTGCATTTGAAGCAAGCAAGCTTCCGGCGGGGTTTGGACTTTCGGTTCACACCCCCGTCTTGCCTTCCGTCTAATCTATCGTAGATCCTCACCTGCTGGATTTATCAGCGGCTTTCTTTTTCTTGAAGTCTAGAACCCAGTCTTCGGCCTTGGCTTTTGGAACCACGAAAATCTTCACGACCTCGTCGACCACTTCAACATTCCCCGACGTCAACACTTTCAGTAACGAGACTTTTCGTCCCACTTTGATCAGGCCACCACTGATAGTCTCCATATAACACTCGACGCTAGTGGGTTTGTACAGCCCCTCTTTATCCCAGGGCAAAGGCAAAATGTAACTTAGGTGGTGACCCAGTGGTTCGGTTTCGTTGAATGCCTTGATAAAATCCGACTCCAGGTGCAGGGGGTAGAGCAGTACAGTGGGAAAGCTCAAGGTCGAAGTCGGATCCACTGGATCGGGAACCAGCTGAATCTTCGCATCTTCCATCTCGGGAGGTTGAGCCGTCTTTTTGACTTTGATTCCCCTGGCCTTCAAAGCAGTCCTCAGCGTTATCCCCTCCAACCTCTTCCGTTGCTCCCTCTCTAATTCCCTTTTCGACCTTGCCGTGACCTCTTCATTTTTTTTTAATGATCTCCTGCGCCACAGCCTTCAATGGCTTATTCTCAGGATCCACAACCAAACCCCTCGCACAAGCATCATCCGCCTCCAAAACCTTTCCCAGCGCCAACAGCGCCTTTGCAGACCTATAATAAGCCTTCACATTCTTCCCATTAATCCTCAAAGCACTCCCACAATCCTGTGTACAGCTGCGATAATTCTTCAACTCCAAATGACAAGCAGCACGGTTCACCAAACATGCTTCCAAAATCCCAATCTCCCTCTTCACCTCCTCAGCATCTTCCTTCGACCGCTCGTCTGGGGAGGCTTTTTGCCTCTTCCGTATTTCTAGTAACAGGACCTCGATGCCTTGTCTGTAGAACTCCTTTGCATTGAACCAATCTCTGCCCTTAAAGCACTCGTTTCCGCGGTCTTTGAAACCTAGTGCTACCTCTTCGGGCGTGCCTTCATATGCCAACGCTCTCAGAGCCTCGAGATCATCATTTTCTTCCAGATCGGTCATGAATAGCGGGGACTTGTTCAGATCTGCCAAGATTTCATCGGTGGATCTGTTCCGAAACTTTGCGATTGATGGGGGCAGTTGAGGGCCCGCACTGCCATCTTCATTCGGGGCCGCTGGTCCTGAAGAGGTTGAGGCGTAGGCATTCATTGCTTGGGTGAGAAGGTCTTCTGGTCCCCGGAGTGACTCCGCATTTTGAGGAGGATCGGGGACCTTTACAGATTCCTTGAAATCGTCCGAGATCTCTTCGATCTTCATCTTGGCTTTGGGTACAATGGTGGTGTTTCGTTTATTGTCGAGAAAAAGTTTTGGGCGGAGCGGGGCGGATTGTTATCACGATAAGCAGAACGCGGGGTGGATGATACAGTAGTTTGCTGAAAGAAGGAAAGACTGAGATGCTGACTCAGCCGCGCTTGTTTTAATCGATGAGCATGGCTGTACTCCTCTCCTTCTTGAAATCTAGACCGCAATATTAACAACAATCCTGGATACATCCTTGGATACACAACCATCGATATTCAGAATATCGATATTGCTTAAAGCCCTTGCATTTGCCACATCTTGGTTCGGAGACGGAGATTTGTAGAAACAACTTGGGAGGTTGGGAATCCAACCAGACGCAGCAGAAGCGAGTAAGCTCGAGATCAGAAAGTACAATCTGACTTTGGAAAGATGGCGGACAAGACAGCAAAGTACCGGACGGAGATCCAGCAGGTGAGCCAATTGCATATTTTTTGTCTTATTCCAGGCTGTCACCACTGCAATCGTTTCATTGCTTAACTCTACTTCATAGATGATGTATGTCTCTGGAGAGACCGCTGAAGCTTCCGCCGAAACAACTGGAATGATCGAGGAAATTGTAAGACAACAAGTCATAGAGATGGTAAGTCATGCTTTTTCAGTCATTTTCCGACTAACCCCCGATGCGTTGCGGCCCTTCATTCCCCCTCCAGTATCACACATCGGGTTTCTGACCTCCTCAGCTACGACAATGTACGGAACAAGCTTCTCGCCGAGGTAGCAGGTCTATTTCTACGGACGACCTGATTTTTTTGATTCGCCATGACGTTGCTAAAGTCTCTCGTCTCCGTACTTTCCTCTCCTGGAAGGATGTTCGAAAGAATGTTAAGGACTCTGACGACAAAGGAGGCGAAGGGGATCTTGGAACTGGGGATGAACCTGTCGGCGCTGTTGCCGGAGGACCTGTCGTCGACACGACCAAGAAGAATAAGAAAGCCAAAGTTGGGCTGCCCTGGGAAGTTCCATCATTTTACAATGCCGAAGTCCCCGAACGAGAAGATGAGGAGGACGAGGACGAAGAAGAAATGAATTATGCTACTCTGCAACGCCTTAAGAAAGCCGATGAGCGCACAAAAGTGATGACCAAGGAGGAGTATGTCACCTGGTCTGAATACCGACAAGCATCTTTCACCTTCCGCAAGGGCAAGCGATTTAAGGAATGGGCTGGCTTTGGCGTGGTTACTGATTCGAAGCCAAACGATGACATTGTCGATATTCTCGGCTTTCTTACTTTCGAGATCGTCCAAACGCTTACCGAAGAAGCTCTCAAGATCAAGGAGCAGGAGGATTTAGGCAAGGAAAAATCAGGTGGAGAGCAGCAAGGCAAGAAGCGCAAGTTCACTGGTTTGTTTGATCCACCTTCCGAAGGTCGCACTCCTGTCGAGACTCGTCATATACAAGAAGCTTTCCGGAGACTGCAACAACGGCCGAACAAGCAACGTGCTTTGTGCAACTTTACTAGAGGCTTGAATCGTACTCCTTTGAAACTAGTATGTGTAATTACTCTAATCCTGTGATACATCTACTAACGTGGTTTAGTTCTGAGCTTTGTTTATCTTGGTGTTGGATCGGACGGAAAGGTTATTGGAGTTTGGAATACCAGGCAGCATTAGGTTCATCGTACTGTACAACTTCTCACAAGCAATATGATAGCTGAACGTGCAGAAAGGGCGAGAAGCTGATATCAAGTGGTATTGGCTGGCTGAGAGATATTTTAAATGCTTCATGCCCATCATCCTGGCTGGTAGGCTCATAGCCGATTAAACTTGAGCAAATCGAGTAGAAAGAACAACGCTGCCAGTGTGATGAGGCAAATGTCAACCCAAACTCCATGAGATGGCTATGGAAACGGATAATCGGAAGGACTTACCGAATCAGATTAGCACTTTTAACTTGTTTCGAATATTTATAAATTAATACAAGGAGTGAGCTGGGTACTTTGGAAGCGCCATTTCTGAATTTAGACGTCATTTGTACCCCAAGTGCATCGTAGCCCCAAGCTCGCCTCCACTACTATAAATTTATGGCCCGCTATCCGGGAAGCAGCACTAGCTAGCACTTCTTATAACCACAAATTCTTCCAAATTTCTTTTCACCAAAATCTATCCAAAAACACCCACAAATCTGACAGCACGAAGCAGTACGGATAGCGTATACAAACCCAGGTAATATGTGATATCTCCCCTCGGCACATTAAGAGAAGTAAACCTGACGTTGTTAGAAATCCGAAAGATATTCCTCTAGTTCTACGTTATCGGATTATTTGACTAATACTTCAGTAAGCATAAAGCCAACTGCTCAGATGGCGTTCAATCCAGCATTTACCCCGGAATGGTACGGATGGACATGGTGGGTATTCACCGAGGTTCTATCAGTGGGGATTATGGTTTTGGCAATCAGTTGCGCCTATGCCTATTCGACAACCTACAAGTCTCACCATCAATAGAGCATCGAGCGGGCGGCAAGATACAACATCCTCTGCTCTATTATGGCGGTTGGCCCGGAAGCAAGATATGAGAAATTGCTCGAGATTTGTGTCAAAGAACATAGCGCATTTAATAGAGGCGACATCTGGGAGGATACAGGTTCATCCGTCGCGACATCTGATGATGTATATGCCAAATTCCTAAGAATGGAGATTGAGAAGCGGAGGATAATGTCACGTATATAGCCTTAGGGACATCCCCATACAAAACATGATAATTCGGACAATAGAACAACCGTCACGCTTTGATATAAGAAGTTGGTTGTACTCCAGCGGAAGGAGCAGATAAAAGTTAAGCGAGTGAAAAGGGGAGGTCACGACCCACTCCACTCTCAGAATGGAAGCAAGGCCCAAAACAATTGGTGACAGCGCTCGCAGATTGAAAACCAGTTATTCAAACCAGTTGTTCAAACCAGTAGTCCTAATCAACCAAGATAACGACTCCTTTAACAAATGGCCTGGAATTAGCTCTTTCCCTCTCCGTCGTTGTCACAAAATTCCTCACCGGAATGACTGCCTCCGCAACTGAGGCATTTTCCGACAGCTCTTGTCTTGGGTACGAATAAACAGCAGCTTGAATGCATAGCTCAACATTTTTATCTTCGAAATTGCCCGTTCTGCAATGTATCCCGTCCCTAGTTTCTACATCCATTGCGTTCTTGTCATATTTCGTGCCCGGAGGGAAGGTTACCATCTCATAATCCTCGATATTAAGACTGGTCTCGGCTTTTGTTTTCAGGGCTTCTATAAAGAGTTGAATGAGGCAGTTTTCCCTTTCTGACGCTGTCTCCTGGTCACTTCCCCACGTGGCGAAATCGTCACAGCTTGTGTCTGAGATGTTTTGAGGCCGCGGGGCATTGCTGTAGAGGAGTGCAAGTGTTTGGGATAATTCGATCGCTAATTGCTTTGCTTTTTTGGGAATCGTCCGGTTTTGGAAGGTTTCGTCTCGGATTAACGGAACCAATGCAGCTAGATCTAGATTTCGTAAAGCAACGGGGCCATCTGAAGTTGGTTAGATATAGAGCGATATTCAGAGATTCGAGTGTAGTCTAACCTTGTTCAAGAAGCGCTATCCTATAATTTCTCAATATTATTGATCGCTCGTCATCAAATAGAGGAAAATCTGTCTCAAATACCCAGTCTTGCAAGGCAGCATTGGTCAAGCTTCTTATAAATGCTCTGGGACCGAGAAGTAAAATCTTCGCAAATGCGCTTTTTTCTTGTACTAAATCCACATTGTTTGCTCTCAGGATTCGGTGAACTAGTCGTTTTAGAGCTGCATGTTGTTCTAGGGGCGGAGTCAAAAGTTTCGTGTCGCTATCATGGTAGAGCGGTATATCTTCAGCTTGTGCATACAGAGCCTGGAAACAATCATTAGCGTGTCTAGTTGAAAATCGATCCCCGCTCGTCGATTTAAGGTTGGTAAAAGTTCCCCATGAACTCCGATTATTGAGTTGCAAATTGAGCTTTTTGGTTTCTTTGAGATGATCAGCTATCACCTTCTCCATTGGCCAGGACAAAAATGAGTCTCTTTTTCTCGCCGCTGCGTTCACGAAGGAAACTTCCTGCTCCTTCGCTTTTAAAGCTTCATTTTCCATCTTCAAAGCGTCTTCCTTCTCACGCAGTTGTTCTTCGAGAATTGCAATTTTGGAATGTGCGGACTGCAGCCTCCCGTCATTTCGCTGGCCTATTACCTGGGTTTGAAGATCATCTGGCAATATGGGTTGATTCAAGGTCTGTAGCCTATTGTGTGAACAATGCTCGCAGAAGTGCTTGAGCTTTCGAGTAGGTAACCTAACTTGACATCCATCGCACACTTTGTCTAGTACTACCTCGGCTTCCAATTTCCTTTTGTCGGAACTCGGTTTCAGTTGTGTTTCCTTGCTTGCCTCTTCTGGAGCCTGAGTTTCGGCCGAATTTGTACCCGAAGTAGTTGTATGTATTGGATAGTTGATGTCTTGTATTTCGGAGCTGTGCCGCATCTCTATTTCGGGAGTATTTGAAAGAGTAGAAAGAGAGCCATCCGTGTGAGTATCATCGGTTTCGTCAATAATCAGGAGAGATGAGGAGACTGTCTTCGAACTTGACATGTTCTTTCCCCTTCTTTTTGAACTACGAAGATCAGATTCAGAATTTGCTGGCTACAAATGATCAGCTTTCGATTAGCAAAGAGGTTGAGTTGGATGCGTACATTCTTTCTTGGCAATATCTTTTGTCTTTTGGGAGGAGGTGTGGATTGTGAGGAAAGCGCCCTCGTATTGTTCGAATTTCGCTTTACTGGCACTGGCGATGGAGAGGGTATTGTAAGCTTAGATGCATCCTTTCGAGGTTCTTCGCTAGAGATGGATCGAGGCCAGCTTCCAGAATCCGGAATCGATGAGATTCTGTCCAATTTGGATGCACTTCGCAAGTGATGCTGGGATGCCGTAGCAATTTTATTTGCCATAAACTCATCCTCGAGGAGTTGCGTAGTGGCCGCAATATCTCGCTTGTCATTCTCACTTAGGCCTACAAGACAGGCTGAGCCATGATCGTAGATACTCTTATCCTTTCTCCATTGCCTGGGCGAAATACCTGCTGGGGCATCGGGACCACAAAGATGCCACAGTCGCCATAGCTTTCCGTCAATTTGTCTGGAGTTGAAGACATTGCCGAGGTGTTTGACAGCGGTTTTCTGGAAATTGACCTCATCGTGCTGCAGAGTATGATCCAGCCAAGCTAGTAATGAAGTCTCGTCCTTGGAAGACCACTTTCCGTGAGGATGTTTTGGCTTCGATTTGATTTTCTTCGCCATATCTTCATTAATTCAAATTCTTTGAGACAATGAAGAGAAGAACAAATACCTAGCGACTTTGTCTGTCCACTTTGTTCCATAATCGCCACGTAGGGTTATTCAGCTGGCTAGGATTATCGGTGCCTTGAGAGATGTGGAGTCCAACATTTCTGCAGTGCTTTACCTACCCTAGTCTTTTGTCATTTATTGCAGTACGATTGGTCTACTGTTCCCCAGTACCGGGTTCAAAATCCGGTCCAAACATGTTGGTGCTTCATCATAGCCCGCTTGTCTCCGTACAGGGTATATGTTGGTGATAGAGGTGCATGAGCCCCTTGCCATTGGACCGCGCATACAATCCTCCAAAAATCTGCCTGGGTAGAGAGCGTTTGGCAACAGGATTCAAGTCAGATGTATTTATTAAGACAAAGCGAACTAGTCGTAGCGATTTAGTATTTAGTCTACGATTAATGCCCATATTGACTTCCACCCACCTATGTCAACAATCCGCCGACTAAATCCAGTATGGAAGAATTAAAATCGAATTTGAAAGAATTCCAGCAAGAAAGGATCAGAGAACTTGAAGATGAAAGGTTCGCGCGTCTCACCGGAGGTCAAGGTCAAGCCGATTACCGCGAGGTCTCAGAAGCATCCACATCAACTTTACGACCGATGTCAATCTCTCGTGAATCCACTCCGACTGTCACCGGCGACATGCGAACGAATCTTGAAATGATAGCGCGGTCCACCTTGGGGGATCCAATGGAGCTAGATAGTCCCCAGTCACCTTCTATAGCGGAGACATCAGAGGATGAAGAGCCACTTATTGTCGCTACAGACTTCGGCACGACGTTCTCAACAGTTGCTTTCGCAAGGCGTAGAAAGGATAAGAGAGAGAGAGTGAAAGTAATCAGCGACTATTCAGGCGACGACATGTCATTTGTTGGCCTTTCAAGTCTGCAGGTACCTACGGAAAGTTGGTACCCCGATAAATCCCAGATTTCAAACATCCTCATCAATAGCGCATCTCACGAACAAGACGATGATCCATACAGCAATTTGTACGATGATACCACTGCAGAAGAGAATCCAAACATCGACGACGGCTTTGACGAGGACAACGCAATGGAAGTGCAGCACGACCAAACATTGGATGAAACAACTTCGGATTTTGTTTGGGGGTATAAGATCCACGAGTTGATAAAACCAGATGTGGATTTATCCAATTTCAATCGCATTACAAAATCAAAACTCTTGCTCGATAACAGCCCAAGGACCCAGTCAGTTCGCGATGAGCTTCGACCAATCCTAGAGAAACTCAAAAATAAGACCAAGAAACCAGGTCGGACCAATTTTTACAAAACAGACGAAGATGTTATAGCGGACTACCTGACTCAGTTGTTGCTGCATACGAAGAAACAACTCATCACTAAATTTGATGTCCCTAATGGCATCGCTGTTGAGCATGTCTTGACCGTACCAGTCATATGGGATGCAAAAGCTTGTCGCACGATGCAAAGTGCCATGGAGACTGCCATCAAAATTCAGGTCTGGGAACGACCAACGGCTTGTTCTTGGTCTCAGAGCCAGAAGCCGCTGCTGCCTTCATCATTGGAAAAAACAATGAAGTATTTGTGAGTACACCAAGTAAACAAAATTACGAGACATGGAGTGACAATGTTTCTCTTAGCCAGAAGAGAAGTTCTTGATCCTTGATGCTGGAGGAGGAACTGTTGATGCTACAACCTATCAACTCACCCAAGAATATCCATTACGATTATCAGAGGAGCTCGTGAATCCCGACGGTATGAAACAGCGTGTATTGGAACAAAGATATTACTGATACTCCTAAGGTCGATTAAATGGGTCAAGCTTTCTTAATGAAGGCTTCCGAACACATTTGATTGAACGACTGACAGATGAAAGGGGAGATATCGAGCAGAACGGCTCTACCTTAGAGGGTCTAGTAGACGTAGCAGTGTTGCACTTTGAACGGTCAATGAAACGATCCATCGATGTCACAAACAACCAGGAACATGGTAAAGAGATTCACATTCCTGGGCTTAGGGAGAATACGCAAAAGCATTTCAGGAAAAATTACGTTCAAATCACCCTGTAAGTGCGGGACACTCAGAATTGCTCGCTATCAGCTGATAATCCAGGTCTCACTTTCGAAACATATTTATGCCTCATCTGGAGGCGATTGCAGAACTTATGAAAGACCAACTCACACTTGCAAAAGAGGCTGGTCATGAGGTCAAGGTTTGGACAATCTACTCCTAGTGTAACCAGATATACATGCTTAGTACCATTAATCACTAGAAAATCGTTCTTATCGGGGGGTTTTCAGGGTCAACCTCTCTTCAACATCACCTGGCTAGAAGATTGAGGGTAATATCCCGAGCTTTCGGGTATCAAATTCGACTCACAAGAAAGATGGAAGTCAGCGAACCGTAAGTGGATGAACTCACAATGGAAGCATATAGACCTGCTAAATTATTTCAAGAGAAAGCGCCGTGGCTGTTGGGGCAGTTCTTCGGGCATTGGACAAAGAGAACGGGCCACAGAGGATCACAAAGTCATCGTACGGTTTCCTAAGGACTGAACCATATGAACCGCTCATGTGGGAGGCACACGCAGAAACAAAGCCTACAATAGACCAAAATGATGGCGAGAAGTATGTGAAGACAATATACTGGCTTATTTGCAAGGTAAGAAAACGGGACATCAAAACAGCAAGCCCGTACTAACGAGACCAGGATGAACCGGTTCCATTCCATACAGAGCATTCGATTATAGTTATTCACACTATTCCGACAAATCGGAAACAACTACTCTGCGAGGAGCTCTTGTACGTCTCTGATACTAGCACAGAATCGCACTATCGCAGGGATCATGCCAAAAACAAAGGTACCGAGTATCACTACCCACCACAGTGACCAAATACTTATTAATGGGTTATAGGATGTGAGATAGCAGGGAGAATCGTGGCAGATATGTCATTCCTGCGGGACAAAAACATCATAAAACCCATTGAACGGGGTCGCACCTGGAAGCGTCATTACAGAATTGAATATCAGCTTGTTATGATTGTTGACGGAAGGAATCTTAGATATGAAGCTAGATGGCCAGTAGGAGGCACGGTTCGAGGCAGAGGGCAAACCAGCATTGCAGCGGCTTTCAAGCCTGGGACGAAATAACTTGAATGGCCTAAAATCAGACTGGAATTTTGTTTGCTCTTGACGGAAACTTGTAGTACTTTGACCCGATCTGATGATAGAATGTTGGGTTTGTGCGGAAATTGATATATTGCGAAAACGAATCCTGCGGCAAGTTTTCAAATACTGTGTTTGGAGTCTTTGGGCACGACCCTGGATACTGTACTACAGTTCTGCGCAACGGTCTGGATTTGGCCACATTACGCGAGTAGGGTATACACTGTGATTCAACAATGAGAAACTTTTGGTTTGGGTTAGGTATATAGAAGTAAAACGGTGATACTCCGTGTTGTTTGTTATCGGTGAAGTTGCAAAAATCAGGGGCTGTTTTCCCAAACGGGTTAGTACGCACTAATAATGCAAGCACTCAAACGCGTCGACAACGCGACGCGCCGTGGTGAATTTCGCGAATTTCACGATTACCCTCGACAATCCTCAAGAAAGATCAGTATCTAACCTCATTCACGAGATACTCGATCATATCAACCACCATGGACGGTCTACAACTCAGAGATGAAGCCGTTCGCGATCGCGTTCGCGCAGCCCAAGAATTCCTTGATCCTCGTACGCACCTCCCATCCTCCTGGGCTGATTGTTGCTAACCGCCGCCCACAGTTGATCCTGCTGCTACTCGAAGCTACAGATCAGAAATCATTTTGATGCTCCAGAAGTACCAGCGAAGACTCGTAGTTAGTATCGATGAGGTCCGCGCCCACAATGTCGAGCTCGCAGATGGTCTCCTCCAGCAGCCATTTGAGTTTGCCCAAGCCTTTGACAGAGCCCTTCATGAAGTCATCAATGCGCTCCCCAATACCACTACCAAGCAGACATCAGAAGATACTATGTATTATTGTGCCTTCTCGGGCAGTTTCGGACAATTTGCCTGCAATCCTCGAACTCTTTCCTCAACACACCTCAACCATATGGTTTCTCTCGAGGGCATTGTGACAAGATGCTCCCTTGTTCGGCCCAAGGTCGTCAAGAGTGTGCATTATAATGACAAGAAGAAGATTTTTCACTTCCGCGAGTACAAGGATCAGACAATGACTGCCAATGGAGCAAGCACCTCGAGTGTGTACCCACAAGAGGACGAGGAGGGCAATCCTCTTGTCACAGAATATGGCTATTGTACCTACAGAGACCACCAGACCATTTCAATACAAGAAATGCCTGAGCGAGCACCTGCGGGACAGTTGCCACGGGGTGTCGATGTTATTCTGGATGATGATCTGGTCGACAAATGCAAACCTGGAGATAGAGTCCAGCTTGTCGGAATTTATCGATCTCTCGGAAATCGAAATGCTGGTCACAGCACTGCACTTTTCAAGACGGTGATCCTTGCGAATAACGTTGTCATGCTATCTTCGAAGTCGGGAGGTGGAATTGCGGCAGCAACCATCACTGATACCGATATTCGTAACATCAACAAGATCGCAAAGAAGAAGAATCTATTCGACCTCCTCTCGCAATCTCTGGCTCCCAGTATTTACGGTCACGAGTTTATTAAGAAAGCTGTTCTCCTCATGTTACTTGGTGGTCAGGAAAAAAACTTGGAGAACGGTACACATTTGAGGGGTGATATCAACGTATTAATGGTCGGCGACCCCTCTACAGCCAAGTCTCAAATCCTGCGATTCGTACTTAATACTGCACCGTTAGCTATTGCCACAACTGGTCGTGGGTCCTCCGGCGTTGGTCTCACAGCTGCTGTTACGTCCGACAAGGAAACTGGAGAGCGAAGGCTCGAAGCAGGTGCTATGGTTCTCGCTGATCGTGGTGTGGTATGTATTGATGAGTTTGACAAGATGTCAGACATTGATCGTGTCGCCATACACGAAGTTATGGAACAACAAACCGTTACAATCGCCAAAGCCGGTATTCATACATCATTGAACGCACGTTGCAGTGTTATTGCTGCTGCAAACCCGATCTTCGGACAATACGATACTCATAAGGATCCTCACAAGAATATTGCTCTTCCAGACTCGCTACTCTCCCGTTTTGATTTACTCTTCGTAGTCACAGATGACATTGATGATGCACGGGATCGTCAAATTTCAGAGCATGTTCTCCGCATGCATAGATACCGTCAACCAGGCACAGAAGAAGGGGCGCCTGTCCGAGAACAGTCTCAACAAACCTTGGGGGTAGGTGTCGATGAAGAGGCTGATGTCAATCGACCTACGGACGTGTTCGAGAAATACAACCAAATGCTGCACGCAGGTGTAACAGTTACCACTGGTCGCGGCTCCAACAAGAAGGTTGAAGTTCTCAGCATCCCCTTTGTGAAGAAATACATCAAGTACGCCAAGTCAAGAATAAAGCCAGTCTTGACTCAAGAGGCATCCGACCGCATCAGCGATATTTACGTCTCCCTCCGAAACGACGATATGCAGGGCAACCAGCGGAAGACGAATGCCATGACTGTCCGTACATTGGAAACTATGATACGTCTAGCAACCGCGCACGCCAAATCCCGTCTATCCAACCGTGTCGACGAGGTGGATGCTCTTGCTGCCGAAACCATCCTCCGATTCGCACTCTTCAAAGAAGTAATCGAAGACGAAAAAAGAGGCAAGCGCCGCAAGACCCGTCCCCTCGAGGACGAATCCTCAGGGAACGAGAGCTCAGACTCCGACTCCGATTCCCCCCCTCCTACAAGCCGAGCAGGAACATCACGTACTCGCACTCCAGGAACGGCGCGGACTCGTGGTATTGCTGTACCGAAACGGAATGGCGTTAAAGGTTCTAGCTCTCGCGCTGCTGCTGATGAGGAGGATGACGATGTGGAAGGCCTCTACGATGCCTCCCCGCGCACAACCCAGCGCTCACGCCCGGCTACAAACGGCACCGCTCCCACACAATCCCAAACCTCTTTTGCCTCCTCGCTTCCCGCATCCCAGCTACCATCTCAATCCCAAGAGGAAGATTCGGAACTCGCTGACGGTGCCGCTGCTTTGTCCATTGAGGGCATTACGCCTGCTCGTTACACTGTTTTCCGCACGACGCTTGGGCAGCTGCTGGATACCCCGCTGTTTGAGGACGATTCGGCCGAGGTAGACGCCATTATGGCGGCTGTTAATAGGTCGGTGGGTGGGAATGCTGGGGGTGCGTATGAGAGGAGCGAGGTCGTTGCTGCGTTGCGGAAGTTGGATGCTGCGAATAATATTATGTGAGTATCCCCCGTTCCCGTTTCACACGTAGTGGAGATAGCTAATATCATATAGGTATACCGATGGCGATCTTGTTTACAAGATCTAGAACACTACAGATGATATGATGCTTAAGACGGCGTTTGGATTGTTCAGATGAAATGATTGAGGGAGTACTCGGCGTTATTGCTAGCTAATGTTGTAATGAATTATGCGCGCAAAGTCTATGTTGAATTGGTATAAATGAAAGAAATCGTATCTATCTAATTATCATGTCTTCGTCTCTTTCCCCGTGACTAATATGCTCATTATTTTCATCATCACTCAAAGTCCCCAAAGAAACGAAACGCCATCCCCGTCTAAATAATGCATGCATCATTGCCCAAAAGTCGAGGCATATTCTCAAATATGAATCAATCCTTCCACTTTTTGACATACTCATTCAACCGTTCCTCAACCCGCACCCCATTCCAGGTCTCCACGCCCTCGGCATCAACTCCGAGAATCGGGATTCCAACCTGCTCAATGGCAAAACTGGCCGCCACACTCCCCCAAACAGCCGCATCAAGTACCTCCTTCCCCCTCGCCAACCCCACCGCCAGTCCGCCCAAAAATGCATTCCCGCCTCCCGTGGGATCAACCACTCTCTCATGATCCCGCGCTCCATTCCCACTTTCCTCTGCATTCTTACTCTTAGCATCAGCAGTGAAAACCGCAGGCAGCCACGTCTCAATTCCCGGATCAACCGGTACTATCTCCCTCTCAAAACTGCCATCCCCATTCATCAAACCCGCGAATAGTGCCTCCATATCCGTGTCGTGCGTTAGGCCGCCCCGCGCGTGGTTCCGTGGCCGCGGACGCTTCACGACGCTGGGCCGTCGGCTGCGCCCGCCGTTCTTTGCTATGTAGCAGCCTGCAGCGCCGCAGCGGATTACGAGCGCGAAGGATTGCAGGGGCATGGATCCGAGGAGCTGTTCGCAGGAGCGTTCTACGGCTGCGGGGTCGAAGGGAGGAGTGGGAGTGGAGGGGGAAGTGGGAGATGGGGGCATGTCGTCGCCCATGAGGGCGCCAAGCTCGGCGTGGTTGGGCGAGCAGATGTCAATGTAGGGCAGGGCATTGGTGGTGTTTAGGAGTTCGGAGGGGGTGCAGAGGTCGGGGACGGGTTCCCATATAAAGAGGGGTTTTCCGGTGCCGGGGTGCAGAGCCTTGCGGCGGCGTAAGATGGAGGTTACTAGTTCGATGCAGCGCGTGGGGGAACAGCAGAGGTGGAAGGACTTGGAGAAGAGGAGCGTGGGCGTTAAAGAGTTGGCGTCGAGTCGGAGTTTGGGGGTCTTGTATGCGAAGGAGCGGTTCTGGGACAGGTCGTAGCCATTCCAGCCACGGGTTGTGAGGCGGGTTGCGTCGCTGCGGAAGAGGCAGGAGGACTGCCAGGAGCTGATTTGAGAGTGCACGGTGGGTGGAAAATCGCTGCCTTTATCTACTATCCAGGAGATGGTCTTGGAGAACGGGGGTGGGGAGAAGAGGCGGGCGCCGAGGGCGGAGTAGGAACCTGCTCCGCCGAGGATGTTGAAGACGGGTTCTCTGGGTGGGAGGTAGTGGATTTCATCTAGGAAGTGTTAGGTGGAGGATTGCGTTGAGGTTGAGGGTATAAAAAATTCTAAGCGGATGAAAATAACCTCACAAGTCGACGGTTTTTGGTGAAAGGCGTTAAAGGACATAATGAAGACATCAAGCTAAGGCGGTATTCATCATAAGATTTGGAGCCTTGTGATATTTGAAGCAAAAAATCAAAATAGCGAAGAAAGCAAAAGAAGGGAAAATATGTAGTATCATAGACCCCACTCATCACTTGTGGGCCATGGCACGAGTGCAAACTCGGAAATTCAAAAACAATACGCAGCAAAATGATGAAGTGTATGGGTGTGAATGTGCAGACAACACGTATATTATATTCTCCAGACTGCATGAGTGGTGCATGCGTATCGAGGTATCTCTCTTGGAATCTTTGAGGCATCAAGATTCGGATGGATGTCTCGAGGTGTGAGTTGTACAAGGCTCATGGCCTAACAAGGCGGTGGAATGATTGTAAACCAGCCAACAAATATTAGACAGTAAAGTAAGGCTTCTCACCTATTATGAGCATTCCCAATGTGCAGAAATCTATCTCCTGCGTGGGGGATATTTCTTCGTCTTCATCCATGGTGTTGTCTGCCTTGAAAAGAAGGACCAAAAACTGTGTATCAGAATAGTGTCAGGAGGCAGAAGGGAAGGCTGAGGGACAAGAATAATATTACGATGTACGGTCTGTAGCCTCGTTGTCCGATGAAGTGGAGTGCGGCGCGGAAGGTACAGCAGTACAGTACCGATATTCGAGGTGACGATCCACCTGAAGCTCGAGCTCTCTTACATAGGGAAAACAATCCGATCCTCGTTGGATTATTGCGAAGTTTGACAACACCTTCCTTACGCTTCACCTACAGCATCATTTTTCTGTCTTTCTTTGTCTGCTGTCTATCTATCGTTGGCCTCCCTCCTTGCTTGTAGCCTCCTGTTGCCCTTCACTCGTTGATCATTCCTCGATTCAATCTGACCCGTCACCTGGAACATTTCGCATCTAGGCCCCTGCGCTGGCAAGATGGCTACGAACAACATGCATAACCTTACGACTCTCATCAAACGGTACTACTCTACTCCCTTTCTTTCTTATTTAAAATCTCTATCTTCCCACAACTCTGCGGCCTGTTGATCAGCACGAGCAATCATGGACGACAAAGTCTTGCCTACCGTTTCCAGGACGGAACTGACAGCGATTATCCATAGGCTGGAAGCTGCCACCTCCAGGTTGGAAGACATGGCAACGTCCTCAATCGAAGCACCAAAACTGAATGGCACTGCCCCTACACCTGCGCCGACAGGTCCCCTCCCTCCTCCTCCTACCATCAGCCAGACCCCACCACAACCGCCAAAACCAGTGCAAGCACTGCTCCCAGAAGTGGTGGAAGATTTTGATACATTCCTCGCCGGCACTGTTAAGAAATTCGTGAACCTGAGTGATGAAATGGGAGGGGCAATTGCTGAGCAGGTACGCTGGGAGAGCAGCAGTATTTGGGCTTACGGCTAACCAGAAATTAGGCATCGGGCGTGCTACGTGCCTTTACTGCGCAACGGAAATTTATCTTCATAACTACGAAAGCAAAGAAACCTGACCAGTCCAGTTCGCAGTTCTTGCAAATGTGGAAGCCCATCCAAGAAGCCGCCACGTCCGTCGGCGACCTTCGAGATGCGAATCGGGGAAAGCCTACCTACAATCAGCTCAGCGCAGTGGGCGAGAGTATTACAGTGCTTGCTTGGGTGATAGTGGACCCAAAGCCTGTGAAGCATGTAGAGGAATATTTGGACCAGGCCAAGTTTTGGGGCAATCGAGTATTGAAGGAATACAAGGACAAGTGAGGACTCGGTCGTAAATGTTTTACCAATTGCTAATACCAGCAGGGACCCCAAGCAAGTGGAATGGATACAAGCATACTATCAAATCTTCAAGGACTTGATCGAATACATCCAACATGCCTTTCCTCAAGGAATCCCTTGGAATCCTAAGGGGGTCTCAGTGGAAGAAGCAGTCAAATCCGTGTCAGAAGCACCACCAAGCTCTCCTACACCACCAGCCGCAGGTGCTGGAGCACCTCCGCCACCCCCTCCTCCTCCAGGACCTCCGCCACCACCTATGAGATTCGATGAGCCCAAAGCTGCCCCCGTGACAGATAGTGGACTAGGCGCGGTCTTCAGTGAGCTGAACAAGGGAGAAGCTGTTACGAAGGGTCTCCGGAAAGTCAACGCCGACCAAATGACACACAAGAATCCGTCATTGCGAGCTGGAGCTACGGTACCGACTCGAAGTGACAGTCAATCTAGCGTTTCTTCGATATCTCGCGGAAAAAGCCCTGCACCTGGCAAGAAGCCAAAGCCAGAAAGCATGAGGACTAAGAAGCCTCCTGTGAAGAAACTGGATGGCAATAAATGGATCATCGTAAGTGTTGCAAATGCTAGGACCCTCATCATTGCTAATGATGGTGTTTTAGGAAAATTTCGAGAACGAAACTGAACCCATTGAAATCGAAGCCTCAATATCCCACTCCATTCTTATCACCAAATGTAGCAAAACAGTCATCATCGTAAAAGGCAAAGCAAACGCTATATCCATCGACAACTCCCCCCGCCTCTCCCTCGTCATCGACTCCCTCGTCTCCTCAGTCGACGTTATCAAATCTGCCAACTTTGCTCTGCAAGTCATGGGCACGCTCCCCACTATCCTCATGGACTCTGTAGATGGAGCTCAAGTTTACCTTGGGAAAGATAGCATGAGCACTGAAGTGTTTACCAGTAAGTGCTCGGGGATTAATCTGAATATCTTTGGCGGCGAGGATGAGGATTATAAGGAGGTGCCGTTGCCGGAGCAGCTTCGCACAATTATTGGGGCTGGTGGCAAGGTCATTAGTGAGATTGTTGAGCATGCTGGTTAAGGGGCACGAGGAGGTATATTGTAGGCTAGGCTTAACTTAGATGGTGGGATGTAGTATATGGGTGTCATCTTTGGAGTTCGGCCCTGATGAATTTCGGGACTGTATTTCGAGAGAAATAATATTTTAGAGACCGGTCTTATTGTTTTTAAAATGCGTTTTATTTATGCAAATAGGAAGATTTACTTACAAGTCTGCTTATTACAAAGCCTTGCATTTTCCATTTCCCTACCGCTTCAAGTCACACTTTTTGGAAACACTTATTATATCTAGGACTGGCAAAGAGAATATTGAAGTTGAATAGTGTTTATTGAATCTACATGCATGCCAGGTCTATATTCTACAGCTACTTTATCCCCACATACTCATACTCCAACCATACATGAATAAATGGGCTTTCCTCCCTCTTCTACCCCCCCTGCCAAGATTTTCTTTATGATGCAGGATGAGACGGTATGAAAGGAAGGTATGGTACATGGTATAACATAAGAAAGTAAATCTTGATAATACACACATGCCGCTGTTGTGTTGTGACCGGACTGCGGCATTCGTCCATCTCTTCATATAATACACTACATCCACTTTTGTTCCTTCCTGCCTTTCTTCTTACAGATGCATGTAGTCGAATTGGACTAATGTATCACCTCCCCAATATCAATATGCACCGGTTCCCACTCCTTCGCCCCTGCGACCTCCATCTCACTCGGTACCCTGACATTGGACCCGGGGCTATACAGATACCACGCCTTGAGCGCATGTACACAAGCCCTCGTCCTCGCCTCGCCCAGACTCGGCCCCGCGCCCTCACCCAATTTATCAGCCCCGCTAAAGATCCCCACCACAAACACAGGATGTCTACTCCTCCGACCCGTCTCGCTCACGATCCGTGCAACAGGATACTCGAAGCCCTCTCTGGCACACAGCCGGCTCAGCTCCCGCACCGGCTCCCGGAACTGGAATAGTGACGCAATTTGTAGGTATCGGGATAGGATGTGGTTCGTGACGAAGGTCTTGGCGGCCGCCGAGCCCGAATGTAAGTATACGGAGCCCACGACTGCCTTTACGAAGGAGGCATATGCGTGTTCGGTCGGCAGCGGGAGGTCGTTTTCTGCTTGTTTCGGAACCGTGTCCCCGAACTCGTCATCATACACCACTCTACTACTCATGCCCCTCCTGTAATAACTCTTGCTATCAGGCCTTATACTCCCAACTTGAGTCTGCAGCCCTTGCCCCGGCTTGAGTTTGGAGAATTGGAGATAGCCCGGATCCACTTCTCCTCCTGGCGCCGCGGCAGTCTCTACACCCCATTCCTTGCCTACCATTTGTAGGGTCTTGGGCCCGCTATAAGCGTAGGCGGCGGCGAAGAGGACCGTCATGGGTAGACGGGGATATGTGCAGAGGAGCCATTCAGAGACATGGTATGACATTATACTGCCCCCTAAATTCGAAAGCGCAGCATTATTGAAATCCGCATTCGAATCCGCAGACGGGTCAACCAGCGTGCGTGCCATCGTGTGCAGTGGTAGTTTTTGGGAGAGATTCAGCCGTGCATGCAGGGCTGCGAGTTTCGAGGAGTTGAAGGCGGCTTCGAGAGGTGGTGATGGGTATTTTGTGTCTGAGGATGAGGATGAGAATTCTTCTTCAAGCTCTTCCCCATCTTCCAGTATCAAGTCATCGGATAGTGCTGCTGCTGATGAGGAGAAGCGTATTCGAGGAGGTAATGCAGCTTGTTGCTGCCGTAGACAGCATGGTCTTATGCTCGCCGGTGTCGACCGCGCCGTGAACAATTGCCCACTCCATCTCTCAAGCCGTAATCTCTTCATCGGTAATATCTGGCCTGACCCTCCTCTGCTCAAACTTGCCCGAGGTAGAAATTAGTGAGGAAGGAGTTGAGTGCTGGTGATGTTTTCTGGCTCTTGTTCCCCTGCCCAAAATTTCTCAAGCTTGGCCTTGCTTGGTGGTGAGATGCACTACTCGATAAAATTTGGATTATGTAAGCGTTGATCCACATGTGAGGAACCTCATTCGCTCAGCCTAACGTCCTTTCAACAACACCAGACTCCAATCCCTCCAATCCTAAGCAAATATTCAAGATGGCGAGTCTATTCATGTTCAATTTAATCGAGGTTATATGCTAACAGCTTCCAGGGCGGCGGTCCGAAAGTTCCGTAAGTCAATGGCTCAAACAATTCACCTCCCGGAAGCTCGAACTCCAGTCGAGTTGGAATGCATGCAGCTCCTAACAATGAACACAGATACCCCAAGCACGTCTGGTCACCATCAGGTGGCTGGTACACGCAACCCTCGAACTGGAAAGCGAACACAGCGATCATGGGAGCGGTTGTGCTCGGCATCACGGCTATGATGTGGAAGGTGAGCGCGGACAGGGAATACCGGGATAAGTTTCCTGAGAAGGGCAGATTCTTTCCGAGTCGATAGTGAGTGCTGCAGCGTTTGAGGATAGGGAAATGAGACATGATGCTAATGGACTTATAGCTGGAGCAAGCAGATCATTGAGCACGAGAAGAATGAGAAAAATGAGAAGGGGGGATCATGAGGGGCTATGAAGTTGGGATTGTACATATCTAAGGCGTCTTGAATGAACCGGGTTTATACCGTCACGATTGGAGAGGAAACTTCGAGGGTTGTTGTGTTTGTCTCCTTGCCTTTACCTGTCAAATCATTAGGGCAGATTTACGGAGACGGCCCCGGACATCTCATTTTCTACTATGTTATCTCCCGTAACTTTTCCAACTCACAATAGCTAGTAGCTGGGACTGTTCAAATAATCTACTCCTCAGGGAAGCAAGACACAAGAATTGGCTTTCGCTCAGCATGCTATTATGCCATCTTTAGCAGTGGCAACCTCAACATGTGCCCCGCAGGTTTTCCCTTCAAGTGGCAGCTCTCTCCGGATTACACATCTCAAGTTCTCGGGCACTATTACTCGCCAACTCTGGATCAAGGGGGTTATGTTAGGGCAGGCTACATGCAGGCAGTAGAATTGTATGTTTTAAATAGGTTTGAAAGTAAATATATTGCCGTCCCTCAAACATCAACACTCCTTGAGTAATAATTCGACATCTCCAACCTCGCCAAAAGCTGCGCTACAGTATTCTCCTCGGTCAGATCCTCCCCATCAAACAACCCCGCTGCCTTGCCACCCGCAACCCTCTTCTCCCCATATCCCTTCTTCTCACTCAGGCCTCTGCAGACAGTGATAAACACACCCACTTTCTTCCGATATCTCAAATACAGCTCTCGCACCTCCTCATCCGCACCGACCTTCCGCTGCAGCCCCAGGGCTCGTTCGCGCGAGTGCGCCGCGAATTGCAGGATAAGCGTGAATATTTCTTCGAGCAGCTTCATGACAGGCTGCTGGCGCTTGCGGAGCAGGAGGGCAAACATGATGCGGTCAAGGACTTTTTCGTGGTACTCTCTGAGCTTGTCCAGACCTTCATTTTGGCCGAGGGTAATGTTGTTGCTATCGCTGTTGATGCGCCGTTCGATCTGATCGAGTTTTCGGTCGAAGATTCGCCAGGTGGATTCAATGCCCGTGTCGAAGAAATAGCCGCTTAGGCTGTATATGAAGTGGTGGGCTTCGATTCGGAAGCGTTGGGCTACGAAATCAATGCCCTGCCAGTACGATGTGCGATCAGTAGCGTCACGGAAAAGTGCTGATACTACATAAAGCATGCGGATAACTCTTAGGAGGAGCTTGAAGAGCTGGTCGTATTTAAATAGAATCATTGGTGTGATGACGGCTTCTAGGGGTGGAGGTGGCTTGTAGGAAAGTCGGAGGAAATCCAGTGCTTCGACGGAGTCGAGATTTTTGCACTTTTCGATTTCCTCCTCGGCCATGTCGCGAACGGCAAAACTAAGGTCACCAGGCAGAGAAGTCTGATCCAGGTATGTCCCAGAATTGGCCCTATTCGATGTCTTGTTCGATATGTAACTGTCTGTCAGGACACCCATGAGAGCAAGTCGTAATTCCGAACTCGCAGGAGGCCAAGTATCTCTTCCACCGAGTCGAAGACCCATGATACCACCAGAGCGAGCAACACCTCTCTGTCGTTCAGCACTCTCGAGCTCCGGGTCGAAGAGCGCGTGAGAAAGTCGACTTGAAAATACACCATTTCCAAGCAGGTGGAAACTACGTTGGAGGTCTAAATGCTCGCGAAGGTTGTGTGTGTTGAAGAACATTCGCATGCATGTTCCGTTCACAATGCGAGCTTGAGCGGAGATGATCGGATTGAAAGAGAGTAAAGGAGTCAGGGATATCGGCGGAAGAAACATAGAATCGTCGTCTTGAGGACGTTCACCATTCGACGTAAGATACGTACTTAGTTCCTGAGAAAGCCGATCCGGGATAGTACTGCTGCCTAGGGGTTGGTTGAGGGTATCAATGGAAGCAAGGACATGAGCTTGCATGTCTTCTTCAGGCCGGCCAAAGAAGTCCAATTTGAACGTATCCTCGGTTGTATTGCCAGTATGACTAGAAGTGTTTAGGGGCCTTGCAGACTCTGAGAATTCTAGTAGGGCAGTTGTCAAGTCTTTCTCATACTGCAAAGCCTTTTCCTCCACCTGCATGATATCTTTCCACGAGAACTTCCATTCAAGAGATGGTGGATTTGCAGATGCGACAATATCAGCTCTTGCAAGCGGATGGTCTGAATGATGGTCTCTCAGAAATCGGAGGCTCCTTCCAACCTCAAACATTGCACGAGCATCTTCGGGAGCAAGAAATGTCGGCACTTTATCGAAGTCCAAAACAAAATCCGGCTGGTTGACTTCAAGTCCTTGCTCATCTACCCATTCCTTCTTCTCGACTCTCACAAAACTCTTTCCATTCCCCTCTTTGGTAAGGGATACACCTGCTTCTCGTTGCAAGCCAAGCCATTCTCCGGAGAACTCGAGCCATGGTTGTGAAACTCTAGAAAGGATTTCAAGAAGAATGTTTTGCAACGAGTCCGTCCTATGCTCAAGGAGTTGGATTTCTTGGAATATCGTAGACAACATCGCCTCATCACTCCGGGTAACTGACACATTAGTAACAATCCGGCGAAAGCACGTCAATATTGAGTAAGCTGGCTGGAATAACGCCTGGAGTTGCAAGAGGCTGTTATGCATATATGTGCTAGCACTCAGTCGTGATTGTATCGTAGCCAGCAATGTAGAAACAGCATCTGCTAAAGCAATTCGCCCAGCGGATGTGCTTCCACCATAAGACTTATCGAAAAAGCTTTGCAGCGCTCTCGTAATATTTCCACATTCCATGAACATAGCCGATAGTTCATTTAGAGACTCCCCTGTGTGCCCAGATATCCGAATATCGGGGAGCGTAGGGCTAAAACATTGTTCTGTCTCATCCCAGGCGAATAGTACCGAACTTCTACCCAGTCCGAGAGCCAGCAATGAAGCAGTATATACTTCGGTGCCCAGAACCATATAGTCTGTATTGTCTACATGGAAGAAATCCGCCTTTGCAGCCAGGGCGGCATCGAGTATCCCGGGCCCAGCCTCTGTGATATACGGTGTCTGACGCTCCTGGAGTTTTGCGTTGTCGAACCCATCCCAACTCTGATAATTCGCTACCTTCAGCGGAACATCGTCCGTTAATGACCAAAAATCAAACTCCTCTGCAATATCTTCTTTCTGCGTAGTGACTGGTTCTTCTTGAAAATCGGTTGGTTCGGGTGGGGTTGGAACGTCCGCAGCAAGCCCAAGTGATAAATCTGGGATACTGAAAAAGCCATTGTCGTCCTGTGCTCTTTGTTCGACTACATCGGGAAGGATCTGGTCAACATCTAAAGGTTCATTAGCAGGTGTCTTTTTATACAGAACAGAATTTGTAAACCATCAAGCTTTATTTGGGAGAAGAGGGAGCCATCTTGATCTCCCTCAAGGGCATGTAGCTTTGATAGACCCCATAGATCTGGTATCGCAAAGGGAATCCCGATGTTTCCTTCATCGTCGCTCATTCTTGCATTTTGTGGCTCAAGTCGCGTGTTTGAAGCCGGTTGACGCGTTGAACAACTCCGGCTGCTCCCGCCGCTACTAGAGTGCAGTTGCGCTTCAATGCGATCATTAATCTAGCTTTGCGACAACGCTCACGATAATTGCTTGCGCACATATTCCATCAAGATGGCCCCCAAGAGGAAGGGTAGAAGTACTGCAGGGGCAGCTTCAACTCCAGTTGCGGACGAAGATGCCATGGTCATTGACAGCCCGAAGCCACAGCAAGTCGAAGAACCACCAAAGCCCAGCTACGACATTCTTGATGACCCATGGACCGATGAGCAGGAAACTTCACTTTTCAAGGGCATCATTAAATGGAAGCCTGCTGGTAAAACTTTCTTCCAATATTCCCGACTTTGGCTAATGTCTTAGGTATGCACAAGCACTTTCGCATGATCGCATTATCAGAGCATCTTCGAAACCATGGCTACGATCCTACTGCCGAGAAGCACACCCGGATACCAGGCATATGGCAGAAGCTACGGACACTCTATAACCTAGGTATTCTCGATGAGCGCGAGAACTCTTTTGACTATGATGATGGGGATGACAAGTTTCTGGAGTTCCAACTGCCTGTGGATTACGAGGAGACGATGTTTATGAAGGGCAAACGCAGTCCTAGCGAACCTCCATCATCTCCTTCAGAGCTCGATCGATCGCCCTCGCCGCAGGGTACACGCAAGCGTAAGAGGGGAGATACAGTCACACAGAAGAATATGCGCGCGAGTACAATTGAAGGTACGGATGAGCCCAGGACTTCCCCCGTACACTCATCACCACCACCGAAGACGACGAGAACTGGCAGGAGCACGAACAAATCGATGGGACGTGTCAAGGCAGAGTCAAGTTCTCGACAACCAAGCAAAGATACGACTATGGATGAGGAAGAGGCTACGGAGGGGACGGAGGAGGGTGGCGATGATGACGAGGCTGAAGAAGAAGGAACACCATCACAAACTTCTCCAAAAGCTTCCAAAGCCACTTTGAAGTCAAAAGCAGACGCGGCGGCCAAATCCCAGGGGGCTTCTCGGAAGAGTAAGAGGAAGAGATGATTTGTAGCCAGTGTCGTTGTATGATAGGTTCTAGGGAGTATGGAGTTTTGGTGTGGCATAGATATTAGGAGGGGGCCTTAAAAGGGAAGACTGGAAGACATTTGCACATATGGCGAGCCTTTGCAAAGGTTTGATTTGCTCCGGCTTGAAGGAAGAGAATCATCACATGCTAGTGATGCTAGATGTATACAATAGCGACGACTTGTGAAGAAACAACACCACACACACAACGTAGATGACCAAATTTTTCAAATGGCCGAGAATATCCATCCCATCCATCCCTAGCCTAGTCGTGCATCAGCTGTTGCCGAGATGGAAAGTTCTGCTGATCACTTACTGGCGGCCCCATCATTCATCGCTGACACTCACCGTTGTGACTGGCTCGACTGGCTACAGTACTGTAAAATAGCCTGTACTGTGGGGTGAATGGGCGGGTTAAATCCGGGGCTTTTGTGCTCGGCTTCTCAAACCTCGGGCAAGCGCAACCTCCCATGCCTTCCGCGGAACGTCAACCAACCACAAGCAAAACTAAAACCCTCCAGCAAGCTGTTCTAGAAGAAACTCTGTTCTCTGTTGTCTCAGTCTTGAATCCTGCCATTTACTCTCCTCTCCAATCTTTTTCAAACACAACTTTGGGAATGTTGAGAGTGCTTGCAAAGAATCGCTCGCAGTCTCAGGTGCTTCGGAGCAACTTCAAACCAAGCACAGTGAGTTTACTTGGTCTGGGTAATCTATCTCTGTGTGGGACTAACACTTTTCGGCAGACCGTAGCAATAGGCATGGCACCAGCAAATAAGAGGAGCAATAGCTCTTTGCCAGGAGGTATTCATTGTCTTCTACGGGTATTACCCCGCCTTAATCATCCACTAACTGTTCAATAGGGTATAGAGAAGACAGTTCGAAAGGACCTATGCTGCGATTCGAGGAATCCCTTCCTAAGTTACCAGTACCGACTCTAGAGGAGACCGCAGTTCGTTACCTGAAATCCGTCCATCCCCTACTCTCCAACTCCGAGCTCGCATCCACCACGAAAGCAGTTCAGGAATTTATAAAGCCAGGTGGGGTTGGTAGCAAGCTGCAAGAGAAGCTGCTTGCTCGCCGAGAAGACCCGAAACATAAGAACTGGATCTATGAATGGTGGAATGATGCAGCATATTTGAGCTATCGCGACCCTGTTGTTCCCTATGTCAGCTATTTCTATTCGTACCGAGATGACAGGCGGCGGCGGGATCCTTCCAAGAGGGCCGCGGCCATAAGCACTGCGATTCTAGAATTTAAGAGCCAGGTTGACTCGGGAACATTGGAGCCAGAATACATGAAGAAACTTCCCATTTCTATGGAGAGCTACCAATGGATGTTCAACTGTTGCCGTGTCCCTGCTAAGCCTGCCGATCACCCTGCCAAGTACTCCCCAGCGGAGAACAAGCACATTTTAGTTATTCGCAAGAACCAATTCTTCAAACTCTTCTATGAGGTTGATGGCAAGCAATTGAACACCTCGGAGTTGGAACAGCAATTCAAGACTATCTACCAAAAAGCAGAGAGGGCACCTGCTGTCGGACTCCTGACTTCAGAGAACCGCGATGTCTGGACTGAAGCGCGAGAAGTGCTTCTAAAAGCACACCCCTCAAACGCCGCAGCTCTCAAGGATATCGAATCTTCTTCATTTGTCATTTGCTTAGACGATGCATCCCCAGTTACCCTCGAGGAGCGCGCCCATCAATACTGGCACGGCGACGGCGCAAACCGCTGGTTCGACAAACCCCTTCAATTCATCATCAATGACAATGGCACCTCCGGCTTCACGGGTGAACACTCTATGATGGACGGCACACCTACGCACCGCCTAAACGACTACGTCAATGAAGTGATCTTCAACAACAAGCTCGACTTCTCCGACCCCACCATCCGCTCCAGCCTCCCCGATCCAACCCCCATCAAATTCAAAGTCAACAAGGAAGTGCAAGCCGAGATTCTGCGCGCCGAAAAGGACTTCACCGAAGTCATCGGCGCCCATGAGTTACGCGTGCAAGCTTACCAAGGCTACGGCAAAGGTCTGATCAAGAAATTCAAATGCTCACCAGATGCGTACGTGCAAATGGTCATCCAACTCGCATACTTCAAGATGTACGGCAAAAACCGCCCAACCTACGAATCAGCTGCGACGCGCCGTTTCCAGCAAGGTAGAACGGAGACCTGCCGTACGGTTTCTGATGACTCTGTTGCCTTTTGCAAGGCAATAAATGATTCTTCCCTCGATCCCAAGGAAATCGCTGCGTTGTTCCACAAAGCTGTCAAGGCGCACGTGGAATACATTTCTGCTGCTTCTGATGGGAAGGGCGTGGATAGACATTTGTTCGGCTTGAAGAAACTACTGGGTCCTGGTGACGAAGTACCTGCTATCTATACGGATCCTGCGTATAGTTATTCTAGCACGTGGAGAATCTCCAGCTCACAGTTGAGCTCCGAGTACTTTAATGGGTATGGGTGGAGTCAGGTGGTGGATGATGGGTGGGGAATTGCTTATATGATTAACGAGAACAGGTTTGTCTTCCATTCCGCTTCCCTTTCCCTCCTACTTCATATCAGAAGTGTAATGTACTAACCGGGCATCTTTTCTTTAGCATCCAATTTAACGTCGTCTCGAAAGGCCTCGGCAGCGAGAGGATGAGCTTCTATCTCAATGAAGCTGCGGGTGATATCAGGGATCTACTATTACCGACTTTGGAGCCTGCGAAGGCGAAGTTGTAGATTTCTGTCTGCTTTGGGGATAAAGTAGTGTACTGAAATGAAGAAAGGGGGTGGGAGGAGGATTAGGATACATGTATCATAGAGCCATTCAGTGCATATGGCTGGATTTCCTAGATTCGTAGATTCATAGGGTCGGGAATGATATGGCATGAGAAGAGAAGAGGAGAGAATTATTGCACGCGAGTCTATTTTGGTCCATCATAAGTATGCATGTATAGACATTTTCGTGAATAAGTAGCAACTAGAACTTCTCTATCGCACCGCACCATTCCACCACTCTCGCACGACACGCAGACCTCTCTTCACGTCATCATCCATCCTAGCTTCTTGGAACACTATGAAATCAAAAGACCCTCAATCAACGCCGACGCCAAATCGTACAACCAACCGGTGCAAATGCATGCATGTATGCGTGGGAAATTTCAAGATGCGCAAGAATGAATGGATGGTCAAGAGACAGGTATCATTGGGGTATTATGATCATGATGCTTCGGCCTTAACTTCCGACTTGTTGTCAACCTTCTTGGCTGGTCCACCCGCAATTTCACCATCATCCTCGCGCGCACGCTTCTCCTTCTTCTCGGTAGCTGGAGCAGCAGCGGCAGAATCCTCGGACTTGGGCTTGTCATCGGCCTTCTTTGAGGCTGAAGCATCGCCGTTGTTGTTTTCGGTATCGGCGTCGCCGCGACGCTTTTGGTCGTGGTTGCGAGGTCCTCTGTTGTCATCGCGTCGGCCACCACGGCCACCTCGACCACCCTTGTGATCATGGTTCTTGCGATTGCCTCGTTGGTCTTTGAATCCCGAAGCGCGGTCGTCTTCACGTCTCTTCTTCCAGTCATCTGGATCGCGGTCGCCTCGGCCACGATGATCATCTCTACCGCCGCGCTCGTAATTTCCGCGACCACGACCACCGCCACGACCACCACGGCCCCGGAATCCGCCATTGCCACGTGGTCCCCATGACTCCTTGGGCTTCGTGATTCCAGCTCTGATCTCAGCATCCTTCTTCGCCTTGTAGGCAGCCTTGGAAGTAATCTCCAGCTCCGTCTCCTTCCACTTGGGCTTTGGATCAAGCTTCAGGAAGGCCTCGGCCGTCTCCACGTCCACAAACTCCACAAAAACGGAGCCCTTGAAGGTTCTATCCTCAGTACGGCGAAGACGAACGGCGTTGGTGGTGCCGAAACGTGCGAAGAATGCCTCGATGTCGAATTGCGAACTGGGCTCTTCCTCGCCGAATCCTTTGGCGTAGATGGATCGCGCGTCGAGCTTGCTTCTTGGAAGGTGGGGATCATAAGCTTCCTTACGCTTAACCCTCTCAAGGCCCTCTGTCTCGCCGTCGACAACATCCAAGAACAAACTTTCTCGGAGTGCCGCGACCACGGTCTCGTAGGGCTGGAATCGATGCATGCGCTTGTATTTGTGGATTTCCGTAATTAGCACTGCTTTATTATTACTGCCATCGGTTTCCTTCCACAGATTGGCGTCGGTGGGGAGGTTGGAGTCGCCAAAATAGAATTCGACCTTTGTAAATTGTTATTAGACTAGATCTTCTTTTGAAGATCTTATATTGCCTACCTGTGCGCGAATCTCTTTTGGGTCATCAGAGTCTGGCAAAACTGAAGGGTCATATTTGCTGCGGTTCTCATGCTTGACCCATGGCTTGTGCTCTCTATTTCCATAGTCACCATTAATTTTGGAGTTATCCTTTTCGGATGATTCCTGCTTAGAGTCCCCGTTCTTCTCCTTGGCGGTGATGGCTTCACCGTTCTTTTCCATATTGACATCTTCCGTCTCCTCCTTCTTGGCCTCTGCAACTCCGTCTTGCTTCTCGGATGAAGCCTCAGCCATGACAGAATCTGTGTCGGTAGGAGCAGAGGGATCGCCTTCAGTCTTGTTCAAAGTCTCATCGTTGCTGATTGAGGTAGAAGCTGGGTCAGGCTCGGTGGCTTCCGCTTTGATATTCGACATTGCGATTGCGAACTGCTATGTGCAATTGGCGATGGTAAAAAGATTTGAAGAGGCGGTGCGAAATGGCCAGAGTTCAATTATCGCAACCGTAGGAGAATTGATCGGTGTAGTTGGTGAAGTGTGACTCTTGACTTGATCTGACTCTGACCGAGAGCGAGTCAATGGCGGGGTCGAAAGGCGGGAAATATTTTAAGAGATGTGCAAATAGAAGACTCTGTCCTGCTCCTGCTCCTGCTATTCAGGAGAAGCTCGAGGGAAGTATCTAAATGCAGCGTAATATTCAAGAAGGAACCTTTTGAAAATCGGCGCAATTTTCTTCTGGTGTTTGGTTTTTGGGATCGAGGTGGGGAGTGGAGAGCTCTGGCGCAAAAATTCATCGAGCTTTCTTTGGTGCATAGGCTAGCGGGGAGAAGGCCGCATACGCACCCGCATTTTATGCATTCATGCATGCATGGTCTTCCTGACCTGCCGTAGCACTGGGCAGGTAAATTTATCAATGGTCGAAGCGTGAACATCTCACTCAAGTAATAGGGAGAAGACAATTGAGGCATCATAGCTTGATCCTCTCGAAACCGCAATCATGTCGAGGAAGAGGTTTCATGGTCTAAAGCGCATAGTGCCTGTACGTGCCCACAAACCCCCCCAAGTATTATTCATTGTATAACGGCTAACATGTCCCTCCAGAGATTCCGCATGACATGGAACAAATACAATCTCTACAATCTTAGTCGCTTGATGTCTCCAAATAATGGAGGCACGTATTTCCAGCAGAAATGGAAAGCCAAAGCTGCAACGCGAGCGTACCATGGGGAGCAGATTCGGGAGAAGCAATGGCAACGGATGTTTACCTCGAGGTTGAACGCGGTCGTGCCAATGGACCACAGATACTTGGGGGAGAATGATGGGTCAGAGCTTGCTGCTGGAAGAGGTTCCGGTTTGGATGAGAGGGGGGAGTCTCAGAGCAACCTAAAGACTCCGTACATGCAGATGACTTATGCACCGACCGAAAGACGACTCGACATAGCCATATTCCGATCATTGTTTGCCAGCAGTGCTCGACAGGCTCGGCAATTCGTTACACATGGCCATGTGACGGTCAATGGAAAGAAGGTATGCATTTTCTGCTAAATCTTTCGAATACTAGAAGCTAATTATATGTAGATGCCATATCCAGGATACCTTCTGAACCCCGGAGATATGTTCCAAGTAGAGCCGGAGAGCGTGCTATTTGCAACAGGACAGATGAAAGACAAAGAGCAAGTCAAGGCAGGCCGGGAGATGAAGAGAGCAAGACGAGTAGTAAATACCCGGCGAGCTGAGAAGAGGACTGCCAAGAGGGAGAAGGCTTTACAAGCAATAGCCAACAAGAAAGTCGCCGAGGAGTTAGCAGGGGAACCAACACCTAAAGCTTCTCGTCCAATCATGGCGGACGAAACAGAAGCTCGAAAACAACGAAAGGCCGACCTTCAAGAGCTTGTAAAACAAGTCAAAGCTATTCTTGAAAACAAGAAAGCCCCTCCACCCGCCAAACGCAAGCAGGACCTTCGCGAAATCAATAGAGAAATCAAGGGGACCATGTCCGTACTTAACAGGAAGCCCGTCTCGGAAATTGAAACCTCGATAGATGCTCTCATCTCTCGACTCGCCAACCTTTATCCCAGCAACCTCTTCGCTCGCATCGACAAAAAGGCGAATTCGAAATCGAAGCCAGCCTCCGAAATTGCAGGGGAAGCCAAGTCTTCTACTCAAGAATTTACAGCCAAAGAGAAACAGAAGATGCGTGAAGCTGTTGTTCTTAGTCGTGAGAATCCAGTCGATGAATCGAAGCCCTACGCTACACCATGGGCTCCACGACCTTATATGAGTGCATTCGCATTCATCCCAAGATACTTGGAGGTTAATCACAATATCTGTTCTGCAGTTTATTTGAGGCATCCAGTGGCGAGGCCGGGGTTGGCAGAGGTACCTACACCGTTCAGTGCGGAACAGTTGCAGTTAGCTTTCAATTGGTATTTGAGAAGGAGGTAGACTTGTGTAGATTAAAGGGTAGGATGACTTGTAAAATGTACTATAGTAGAGACTACGGACAATGTAGAGAATATATTTCTACTATGGTCTCTTCTGTCCTTTGTTATAGGCTAGCCCTGTACAATGCCCGATGCGGTGGTACAATGGCTCTGGAACCCCTCCGTCTGAAACCCATCGTACTGAATAATGATGCTACGTTTGCGCACCGGTGCCGATGAGATGATATATAAACATTGTTTTGATCACGTGATCTTCATCATGAGTCCTGGTTTGATCTGACCCCAGTAAAGAGTTCACGAAAATTAAAAGGGTGGATAGCTTCTTCTGCTGACAATTTCAGCTTTAGAAGAACTGTATCTGCCAATTTTGATTTATTTGGACGGTACCTAATAATGCCTCACCATTCTAAGATCTGCACCAACCACGCTAAAATCCAGAGCTAGCTTTCGACCTCATCATCCAAGAGACGTCTACAACACCACGCAACACAACCCATTGACGTCCCCAACCATGCGCTGTACATTCCGCCTTCTGGCCTCCGTAAAGCCAGCCCGGTATCTCGAAGCCGGCACACCCACGGGCCTCACAGGCCTCTTCACTCACCCCTCACCACGCTCAACGCTCGTCTACCTGTACTCGCGAACACTTGATGCCCTATCCGAATTCCCCGAAACATCCCTATACCGTCAATCGACCGAGGCGCTGACCAAACACCGTCTTAACATTGTCTCGGCGGTAGTGCCAGAAGGCTACAAGGAATGGTCTGCGATAGCCAAGCAGATTATTAGTGAGAATCCAGAGGCGTTTGCGCGCCAGGAAAACGTGCAGGGGATGGATGTTAGTCTTCAAGGGAAGATGACACAAGAGACATCGGATGGGAAGGTGTTTATCAAGAGGCGTTTCGTGCCGGAGTATGATGAGCGGACCGTGGAGTGGGATGGGGAGAAGCCTTTGAAGGGGGGTGTGGAGATTGGAACGACGGTTGGGTTTGAGGATGGGACAAAGAAGTTAGAATTGCCAGAAGAGCCGCTGTTGACTGTTGCGCAGTAAGTGATACTTCCTGCCGTGTTTGGTTTCTTTGTGGAGTAAGGGCGAAGTCCCCTTTCATGATGAGATATTTTGGTCCGTGTTACCGAGCGGCCTCAAGAACCGTCAGATGACGATCAACAACGCATTCAAGTGCACCTCTGAATCCCTTATTATACACCTATACCCAGTTCTGCTTGCAGACTGGGTGCTGGAAAGTGAGAGGCGAGAGCATCAAGCTAATCCAAGTTACAGAGTCGAAGAAATCGAGAACAAGATCGGTGCTGGACTCATTGAAGAGGTCATCCAGGTTGCGGAGGGGGAATTGAAGCTTCTAGATGTGTTGAAGAGATCAGAAGTGTAAGTTTACTCTTTGCTGTGTATTTCTTGATATTCGCTAACAATTGATACAGCTGGCAGGACTTAGAAGAGAAGCCGGTTGAGGGACAATGGTCATATTTCACGCGTGATACAGCTTCACCTACGACATGAACGCCATCACAAAAGTAAGAGAGAACTCGACATGGAGGACTTTACTGGACGCGTTGTAAAGTACAAAAGACTTGTAAATAAATTATACATCGTTTTTACGCACGTCGCAAGGGCCAAGTCTAGGTCTATGAGATCATACTACTTTTCTGAGAGCCTTGCAAGTGCTCTTCACTCGCTCCTATATCATTCTTATGCCAGTACCTTTTCTATTAAATGGGGCCAAGCTCAAAATGTACTACAATGTCAACGTGACCCAAAATAGCATATAAAATGACCTGTATCTAAATTCTTACTATAAGGGGTATAGTAAATCGACTTGGGAGTAATGTTATTCCCACTAAAGCCAGAAATACATTGCAGATAGAACGACAGATTACAAAATACTACTGTTATACTATGATAATATTTATAAGAAAAGCTATCTAGAAAGGTATAGGGCGCCGGCCCAATTAGGTTTAACTCAAGGTTGCGCACCAAAATAGTTTAGCTGTAGCTGAGAACCGGCTGTAGCTTGGATTCATTGATTTTATCCGTAATGTACTACTTGTACGTACAACAGTTTCTCTAACCTTGTATGGAAAATTTCAAAGATTTTATATAATCTCCATTTCTGCTTCTGCTTGTCTCCTTCGATTCTGTAAATGGGCATGGAGCACAGCAAATGGAATCCCTTCAAAGGCAAGGGCCCTGATAAAGAAGCCCGTAATCCTCTTAAATTATCTCAAGCGCAACCATACAGCCCAGTAGAATTAGACGCAGCACCCGGCCCATCGACTACGCAACCCCAGTATTCCAGCGGGCTGGAACTAGCGCCTCAAAATGGATTTGGATTTTATACTACGGCAAAATATGATAGCGGGCTAGAGGTCGCGCCCCAAGATGGGATATACCCCGAGCGTGCGCAGCCACAGTACGACGAGGGTCTCCAAGTCGTGGCGCCAACACCAGGATCCCAGAAACCGGCGCACCCCATCATATCCAACCCGAACCGCAGGATCGAGTGCGGGGTTTGGAATGAGATGAAGTGGTATGCGGGGAAGGGTGGGTTGGAGATGACGATGAGTAGACGCTCGACGCTGGTTAAGGATACCATTTGGGAGGTCAATGGCTTGGGGTGGGGGATTCTGTGGATTAGGGGGAAGACGAGGTCGTTGAATAGGGAGAGGCGTATGTTTTTTCTTTTCATTTAATTTTCTATATTGAAAACAATAGTATATATGACTACTAGTATATCAAGGCTAACGCAAAGAATTGCATAGATTTCTCGGATCCCAAAGGAAATTCGCTTTTCGTGATGCAGAAACAGGACTTGAGCACCCGCGTGGCGCAAACAGCGGATGGCAGAGTTCTTTTTAGTATTAAGAGGGCGCTTGGATGTAAGTAGAGGATGATTGCGAAGCCTAGATAGATAATAGATTGGCAGCTGATGATTATATAGTGAAGCCGCAGTTCTCGGCGGAGTTTACGAATGTTTGGGATGAGCAGGCGGTGACTTGGGATGTAAAGGGGAGTCCTGCTAGGCGCGGTCTTGATGTCACTGTAAGTGCCCTTGGTCCGGCTCTGCGTAAAGAAAGTGCGATGCCTAACTACGTTTGCGAAGTGCAATGGGGTACAGATAGGTTCAGTGACCAGACCGAAGAGCGGTTTGAGGGAAATGTTCTCGGAAACATGCACTGTGCGTACTTCTACTTCTACTTCCTCTTCCTCTTGAGGCGTGTTTTGCCCTCCCTTGGCAGATATTAATTGAATATATATAGTATGTCGTTACCCTTGGACCTGGTCTTGATTATACCATTATGGCTGCCATCACTGTAGCATATGATGATATTAGAGTCCATGAAGGTATTTCTTGGTGAAGCAAGCTCCACCAGTAAGGATTTATCAGAGATTAAGGTATCACTGTAGAACGAACGGTTGGCCTTGTTGATTCTTACTTATAAGATTACAACTGCCTTCGTACGGGAATTACATGGAGCTTTACGAATCTTTCAAGTCTCATATGGCCCAAATCCTATGCTGGTACCGTTGAGGGCGAGCTGAAATTCAACGGTTAAAGTGGCCTCACCTCTTACGACATTAGCACTACTCGCAACTGCTGTTTCAACGGCGAAATCCACAATATTGACCCGCCGATGTCAATGGCTACAATACCGGCTGCTACAGATTCCCTTGTGACGATGTCTACTGGTTTGAAGGTGATAACGGCGCCATTCACTCCATCAATACTGATAACATGGTCGTCGAAATTGCTCTTCGGGATGGTGGTTCCGCCGACATCATTGATCCTGCACTTCTTGTTCGAAAAGCTTCTTATCCTGCTCTCGCTGCTACCCACCTTAGCGCACAGCTCAGCAAGTTCAATTTCACTCGCCAGAACTAGAACCCCTCACAGATTCCCTTGCCGGCCTTTTGCTTTCCGCCTCTCAGCCTTGTCTGCGCTCTCTCGCATCTCTCACTCGGCGTCTTCATCTCAAGATTCTTGAATCTCACAGCGCATGCATCCTCGATTTGGTTTGTGCTTTAGTGGCGTTGGTGTTGGCGTTTCGTTCTGGGAACTTGACGGGCCACACTTTACTTCCTCGTCTTCTGCATTTTCGACTTTAGGTTTTGATATTTCGGGTATGTTGAATGGATTGGTCATTTTTGGATCTTGGATCGTGACACTTCGGTTTTGTTGGGTGTTGGACGGCCAGAGGCATCACTTGCACGGTCCTACTTTTGCACTTACACATCATCCGACAATATTTCCTCTGCACCTGCTTTACCGTTTCACTGCTCGCATTGGAAACTTCTGCTTTTCTCCGCGCGTTGCTTTCACACAATCATTTACAGTTAGTCAATACAATCTTTTTTGACTACATAATCGTTTTCAACTTGTGACTTCAAAGAACTCAATCAACAATTAAGCGATACCCCTGAGCATCAAAGTCACCTGCGCAATACACCACCGTGAAGTCAGGAATATACTAAAACTTACTTGTAATTCAATTCCCTTATCTCAAATGACTCTTTAAGAGTCGAAACAGCCATCTAAAAAGTCGCGGAGCTCGAAACTGTTTGTAGATAAGCACGCGACACAGCCCGGATTTTGGGTGATTGCGACACGACTCTACATTCCCTATGGAGCTTCTCGTTGTGGAACAACAATTTCAGGCTATGAATACCATAGCGTGTAGGTACGCCCCTTTTTCTAATGCCAAACAAGGAATTATTCATTCGCAAAGGAATTGAACAATAAGCTAAGATACTAAGACTTAGAAAAAGAATAAATTGATAGCTATTAATTGCAAAGGACCAACTGGAGAGAAAACGGTCATTAGAAGGATATCCATCAAATGATATATGTAATTATCAGCAGGCAAGTTGTTTCTATCCTAGCCTTACTATCTAGCGGCTTGTTCTATGGTTCAAAGGGTCAAAAATAATCTCGTATGAACAGTTCAAAAAGGAGGTACGGAAGAAAGGTAGTATATAGTATATCCTAGCTGGCCATGTCATATTTGACCCATCTATACCTCGTACGAAAAATCCATTAGGATGCGGAGTGATTATCGGAGCAGAACCCTTATTATTAAATTCAGGAATCTAATTCGTAAATATCGTTAAACTCGATACGGAATTCAAGGGTGCCAACGCCCTAATTAGGACGGCATCAAACCTGGTGAACTTCTTATTGCGCCTGACTTGTGGTCCGTGCCTTACAGTACCTTGAAAAGTGCCGATTGATCCTATAGATAAGCATTTGCGGCACGGTGCTCCCTCGAAAGTTTTATCGCCATCCGATTGGCCACTCAAAACGAGAGGCTTAGTATAGAACAAGGAGGAAGCAGAGAGGAAAGACTATCACGGTGACACCGAAGTACCTAAATAAAAGTTCGCGTTCTTGTATTAGAAAGTTAATAGACATCTACAGCACATCCTTTAGACTAAGAAAGTTCTTCTGGGAGGTAGAAGATATGCAAATTTTGCTGCGGTTGGCTTTAATATATTCAAGATTATCTTACCTTTTTCCTACGCCGAATAAATCTACGCAGAGGGGGTAATGCTAATGTATTTTCTGATATATAAATCGTCGCGTTATAAGCATCTGCTATTTAAGCATATTTCACTTTGTGCTTAGGGCTTATAGGTCCAGACCATATACTTATATCGAGATTTTTCTATAGAGCTACTATAAAAATCAACCATGGCATTACCGTCTACCACCTCTCCCCTATATGGGATTGATTTGGCCTAGGCCAAAGTATTAAAGTGGTTGACGGTATATCAATCTATAGATAGACTAGTTCAGCTAATCGATATAATAAGTCCTAAATGTCGATGGGAAACCCATTTAATCCTTGGTTCTTTCGTATGTTGATGGATGAAATATAACATTGCATGCAAGAAAAGGAGATCTTTATTTTGGCTGCATTAATAACGTATAAAAGCTGAGGCCAAATCAGCAGAGCCTATTTCTTACGTCATACTCTTCGCTGTTAATAAGTGGAAGGAATAATCGTAAAGGATTAACCATTTGTACTAAGAATCCTAGAAAGATAAGGAACCTTAGATAATATGTATAGAGTAGATCTGTATCTAATGTTAAAACTTTCTGTACTATGTAAATGCACTTAGATGACAGATGATTCCGTTATTTACCTTTTTATAACTCCTGTCATTACTACTATAGCCTGCCTCCCTCTCATTTGAGTCTACTCTGATATTCATTTATACATTATACATTATGTATTTAGACTTCATTTATCTTATTTCTCTTCTTGCAACCGTTCCACTTGCTTTAGCAGCACCACAGGCTCGCCCAACGGGCTCTGCGGGTGTAGCAGCCAGCACCAACACCAGCCCAAAAGCGACTTTAAGTGTCGGCTGGAACACGACTTCACATGCTAGCCAAAATACGACTTTAGGTGTAGTATCCAGCACCAATACCAGCCCAACAGCGGCTTCAGGCGTCGGCTGGAATGCGCCTTTGCTGAATGCTTTTATATTGCCATGACACC